ATCTCAGGAGTTATCTATTCGCAAAGTACGCGATAAAGCTTCTATCCAAATGGTATCTGTATACACCCTCGTACTAATAATTTAGGTACTCGCACAGTTTTGCCACTGAAACCAGCACACTTTTTGAATAATGAATTATAAAACAATGATAATTATGGCCAATAATTTGAGAATTTTTTTGAGATACCAGTTATTGACCAGGGTCGTGCGATCAGAGAGGCTTTATTAGCTGTTACAGGCTCGATAATAATTTCAACGACTTTAATTGCCTACTTTTTCTTCTTCCAGAGTGTTTTACGAAACCCGAATTGTTATGATAAAGATGCCCTGTATGATTTTTTTGGAATCCCGGATATTCTGTTTACTTCCAATGGTTAGTTTTATGCTCTAATTCCCTTTAATCATCTGTCAATAATTTCAATAATCAGTTGTTAGCCCATGGCTAATTGCATGTAATCATAGGAAAAATCAGTGAAATTTTCAGTCATAACACTCAACAGTTTCCAAGTACATAAAAATATGATTTACGAGTGAAATATCACAACGTTAACATGTAGTTACACTGTAAGAGAGAGTAACCGCCACTTTGTGCTAATATGGGGAGTGTAGGACACAAAGGTACCTGAACGTGTGGTTTACATTTTTTAGTTAGTTTTTCCTTGGGTTACATTGACTGAATCCTAAATCTTTGGGTTTTATTGACCAAATCCCTAAGTTGAACACTTGCAACCTCGTTAAAAATTAGACGCGAGCCGCCAGGACCAAACTTGAATCACTTTGTTAATAGTCCAATGCATTGGCCAATCGCAAGTCGGAATCGCAGAGTGACATTGAAAAAAAACTAGAGTACACCTAATATTAGTTCAGCAAGACACTTTCTTCATTCCCGATATCTCAGAGTCCTGCGGTCTCAATCATGATCGACTTGGTTGCGCTACCAAATTTTTATTTAAATTGCAATTTAAACAAAAATTTGGTAGCGCAACCAAGTCTATTTTGTTAATCTGACGGAAAAAATTAACCCAAAGTAGTCATAAACATGAATTTGTTTAATTCTGTACGTTTTTCTCGACTGAGAGACGATAATTTAAGCGCTCGTGATGTATTTCCGCAAAGGGAAGAATGCATCAACCAATCGTGTTTCCGCATGTGCTGCAGGTGACTCGTGGTTGAAGCAGAGAAAAGCGGTGCTACCAGGTTTCAGTCCGAGAATTATTTCGGCCATGGATCCTGTCTACTCGAATCGGATAAACAGCCTCATAAGCGACCTCAGAGAGCGGGCGGCCACAGGGGCGCCGTTCGACCTCATCCAGCACATTATGCCAGTCGCCATCGAATCCATCAGCGGTGAGTATTGACAATCGGACCGCGTTTAGCAGAAAGGAACCAAGCTACATCAGCTATTGCCAAATTTAAGCGGACAATTTAACTTTTTACAAGAGAACGTTTGTGCGGACTCCTTTTGAAAAATTTAATGAATTTGCCCCGTAATATGCAGAAAAGAAATTTATTGAAAAATCCACACGACCGTTTTCATGTGAAAAATTAATTCGCCCGATGAAATTTGGCAATAGCTGATGTGGTTTGGTTCCTCTCTGTATAACGCAGTCCTGGTATGATAGCATACCGCGCGGGGAGCATCGCGAGTTTACGCCTCACGTCATCGAGCCTTCAATTTTGCAGATACACCACGAACATCCATCGAGCACGAATAGTAGTATCTCTGCGCCGTCATCAACGTGCGTTCTTTTTCTCGCTCTATTTCCATGTTGTGTTGGTTCCGGTTGTCTTTTTTGTGGTTATGCTTCAAGGGCTGCGTGAGCAACTCAGCCAAAGATTAGAAAGATAATCGGGTCTTGTTTTCTAACCTCTCTCCCGAATATGAGCGATACCTCTCTAGCAGCATGAGCAGCATCGAGCGGAGCATAGCGAGTTCAAGTTTCACGCCATCGCGCCTTCAATTTTGCAAACGCAACACGGACATCCATCTAGCACGAATAGTTGTATCTCTGCGCCGTCAGCAACGCGCGTTCTCTCTTTCGCTCTACTTCCATGTTGTGTTGGATCCAGTTGTCTTATTTGTGGTTATGCTCCAAGAGCTGCCTGAGCAACACAGCCGCGGATAGGAGAGAGTAATTTTGTCTCGTTTTTAAACTTCTCTCCTGAATTTGAGCGATGCCTCTCTTGCAGCATAGAGCGGAGCACAGCGAATTCAAGTTTCACGCCATCGCGCCTTCAATTTCGCAGATGCAGCACGGACATCCATCAAGCACGAATAGTTGTATCTCTGCGCCGTCAGCATCGCGTGTCCTTTCCTTTTCTCTAATTATGTATTTTCCCGATATGTTTAGATTAACTTTACAGGAGCCTGCGATGTGGTCTTCGTCCTTGGAGAGCGTGAGGCGCCCTCTGGAGGTTTGTCCGTGTAAAATCCCCTAGTCATCTATCCTAAGAATTGAGTGTAACGAGGTGGAGAAATGGTGCTAGGTCCAGACCATTTCGCGGGGAAATCAAAGCCGAGAAGGGGTATCATGATTTTCAATTTTCTATTTTTATGTCCGACGGAAGATCAGAATCACACTTATCTTTGTGGGCTCGGTTACCAAATAGCCTGTCCTCTTTAAACATATATCTGAGCAATAAAATTAATTAATTTCGCATCAAGATGCCTCATGCACTAATTACGTTTTTGACTTGTGGTTGAAAATCCTTTTATCTTAATAAACTTTGAAAGTTTGATCAGCCTGGGTTCAACTCACATGTCCCAAAAGTACTCATCTCACTCGTTAAACAACACAAAAATAACTTCATGAACTTTTACAGCTTTGGGCATGATGAGCAGTCAAGCTCACGCTGATCACCAAACCTGCTTACTACGCCAGTTAAAATGTAAGACTTTATTCACTTGAATTTTTTTTTCATGAGCAGATACTTTTATGGGAGTTTCTTTGGACATGGAGCTTAGAAATCATCCAGAATATATCAATGCGTTCCTACGGTAAGAATCTAACGTTCCGATTAACTCGATTTTTTTTTCTTTCTCCTCTTCACAAAAATACATTAATGGGCTGTAATTAATTTAATTGGATTTTCTATAGGTGTACAATTCTAGAGAAAATATAACGTCCTTGTGCTCTCTTGTATCTAACAAAAACTTACCTCTTGCTTAATTGTTTTGAAATAAACCGATTTCATATTATAACATAATATTTTCGCAAAATATTTTTAGATATAATGAAACAAAAATCTTATGTTGATCTGCATTATATCGTGACGCAAGTAATCATAAATTAACCATTTTGATAATGAAATGGCGACGGTGATATAGGTGTCCCAAATGAAAATATTAATTTAGACCATGTATGAGTTTTCTGGATGAAATTTTGACCCTAGAGGTTGAGATACACAATAATGCGAAATTTTACGAGAGGTTTTAAATTTTCTGAATGAAAGTAGATTATGGTAGGTAATTTCAAAAATTAAGGTGTATTTCTTTCCCTTGGATATTTCTGTAGTAAAATAATTAATCTGCCCTCCGACTTAAAATTTTCGCGTCCCTATAAGATCAGATTTGTTATATATATTTTCTGACTACCTACCAATTAATAGTATTATGAAACTTTCCTTGCAAATTTTTCAATAATCTCTCCCACACATGCTTATTTCATACACCATTACAGAACCATGAACCAAGTCATAGGACTATGGACTACTATGATTAAAATTTAGCCCTCCAGTTTTAGATACTTCAATGAATTGCATACTTCCACGTGACACACGGTGTGGGTAAATGGGTAAATTTTTTTAAACTGATACGTATTGATGTATTTTCAAGGCACATACATTATTTTTGAATTTTCTTCTGCCAGGATGCCAGATCTATTCATGGAACGTGTTTCAGTCCTGTTGTATCATTCTGATATAATCTACTCATTGACTGGAAAGAAAAAAGAATACGAGTCGTGTTCACATTTTCTGCTCACATTGACTCAGCAGGTAATATTATTTCCAAAAATTAGGATGAATTTGGCAAAATATTTTTTATTAGAGGCGTTTCAAAAATATATCTCTAACAGAAGGACTACCCAACCACATTTTTTTTATTTGTCGTTTCCCATCTGACGTAAGGGAGTATCTTAATTCCACGTGAGCCTGTTTCATATGTAAATTCGTGTTTTCTGGGGCTCATGTGAAAATCCAGAAACACCCTTACGTCCTTACGTCAGAGGAGCGACAATTATATGTAAGGAACATTTGTATGATGTACTTAGAAAAAAAAATCTTTAGGAGGTGGGTCAATGGTCCAAATATATATCTTAAAGAATATTATATGAATGTCAATAATGTAACCAAACGGGAGAAAGAATCATTAAAGAACAAAAAACTGCTCATGTACTCAATTTTTTTACTTTTTTATGACGTACTTTACCTAGGTGTAAATGAGGCGTCTAGAACCCGAAGCAGGAATCTCCATCGCCCTGTCTAAAAATTGTGCTAAGTATCATAGTAACTGTCTGTAAAGAACAACCAAAACGTCTAGCATGCTTTTACAAATTTTCAAATTTTCTCGATTGATAACAGGAAATATACGAGGAAACATGAACATATATGGAGGCTCTCTTGTTCTTTTAATATTAAAATTTTAATGATCGCACAATTTTTAGACAGGGCAATAAAGTTTGCCGCTTTTGATTCTAGACGCCTCAAATGATGAGAAGAGATATAAAAAAACACATAATTGCAACATTTGAAACACTTTAGAATGAACTTAAGTACTTATCAACAGGATCTGCTTGGTGCACTCTGTCCGCTGAAATTGAGAATATTTAATTTAAATTTCTCACATCAATTAGACTACATTTTGCAATTTGGACTATACATTCTAGCCCGGTTTAAAAACAACGTATGTGCCATTAGTTTCCCTATGCAAGTAAGTGTTTTTCTAGAGAAGCCAGAATTTACAGTTCCAAATTGCAAAATGCAGTCCAATTCTTCTTCTTCCACTAGGTTATTGAGAAAAGGTTGATGCAACGCGCTGAATTGAGGGATTCAGGCATATGCTATGAGGCTGGTAGAAAACTTTACTTAGATATTTTGTTGGATCGATTTGAAACATCAGAACAAAAGGATATGTCCCACATGGTCCGAGAAGCCAGCGAAATGTTCATAGCGGTAAGATATTTAGTTGGAGTTTTTTTATTTAGTTTAGACTTAGGTAATTAATTACGGTGCAACGTCATTTTGGCACAAGAAAAGCTTGGAGCCAACCACTTTAGATCAAAGAATTTGCACACTGAGCCGCGAATAGACTCTTTCGTGCTCCGATCCAATGCGGAAGTTATTAATTTTTGCTCCGGATAACTTTTCTTCTTTCAATGTCTTTTCCTCGTCATATGTTAAGTGCTTGGTTCAACATTAATCATACATAGACGTGCAGATATCCACAGGTTTCTTTTTTACATGCCCCGAATAGTACGCATTCAGTTCCACCAAGGCGTCCAGTGGCGACATGTCTTGGGTCGGGTCTCGACGGATCTTGCACAGCGTTTTGGAGCACACAGCACAAGGGATCGGGCGATGGGGGGGGGCGGAGTATGGGGCAAACTAGCGAGTTTATCGTTACGTAATTTCGGGACGACCCACTGGATCGATTCATCCGCATTTCAAGGAGAATTATTCGGTAGTTTTTGTTCTTGATTGATTAATTTTTATGATTCATGAACAAAATGTTTAGAATAACGGAAACAGAAAACGGTATTTTTCATTCTTCATGGTCGTCCTTGTAAAAGAAATAATTTTTTAAACAAAAAAATTATAAACACTTCTGCGTGATAAATTTTTAAGACCACCCATGTTAGAACGGATGAGTTTCAAACAAACGCAATAAAACATAATCTCGAAAGGGAAATAAAAAACATCAGCTGTTCTTTCAATGGTCATTTCATTTTTGGGTCCCTTCCCCCGTGGATGCTCAAAATTTCCATGAAATTCGTGTTCCATTTTTGGTGTCGTATACCAGATTTTTTTATTCGATTTTCACAGGGAAGCGTGACAGTAGCCACGATGGTGAGCTGGGTTTGTTTGCTGAGTGGTGTCTTTCCAGAGGTGGGCGACAAACTTCGCGAGGAGATAGATTCGTGCGTGGAAGATGCGCCGAACGCAACTATCGAGGACTGCGCCAAGCTAGAGTATTTGGATCTTGTTGTCAAAGAGACGTTTCGTCACTTCACAGTCCCGTTTGTCTCACGAGTTGCTAAAAAAGATATTCAAGTTCCTGGTGAGTGATGCATTTCTTACACATGATTTTAAATAATTGGTCGTATTTATGCTAGATGGAACTATGTGCACAGGCCCGGACTTAGGGCGTGTGTAGGGCAGAGCGTGCGGCGCACACGGGCGCCAGCCTTTGGGGGGCGCCACGAAAGAAGAAGAGAGGGAAAAAAAGGGGGGAAAAGGAAAAGGAAAAAAAGGGAAGAAAGGACAAGGGGAAAAAAAGAAAAGGAAACAAGGTGGGGCAGTGAAAGCAAGGAAGAAGGGGGGAAATGGACGGAAAAAGGAGGCAAGAAAAGTGGAAAGTGAGTCCGCGAGAAAGGGGGGGGCATAAAAACCATAGACAAAATATAAAGAGAATTGCCGTCTAAAGGTAAATTTTCAGGACAAAAAGTCTACCTGCGGGTCGATTGTTGAATCGTTATCGATTGAACTCGATCGATAAATCCCTATCTTAGCAATGCTTTTTATCGATCAAGGTCATTCGATAACGATTCAACAATCGACCCGCTGGTCCATAGACGGTCAGGCGGCCCTTGACCCTAAATTTGCGGTTGTACAGAAATACAAGAGTAGGCATGTAGTTAGTTAGGGGGCGCCATAAATCCATCGAACAGGAGCCGACATAGAATTTTAGGCCACATCCGCCATCTTGGATTTGAGAATTCTCAAAAATCGACTAAAAATTCGAGTTTCCCGTCGAAAAGTACCCTTGATCCCGCGGTTCACAGAGCTCTAACGAACAGAAACGGAGGCCAGAACCGGGGCTCATTTTAGGCCGAAAAATTTAAAAAATTGACTAAAAATTCGAGTTTTCCGTTGAAAAATACCATGTGATACCGCGTTTCACAAGACTCGAACAAACAGAAACCGAGATAGCATTTTAGGCCACGTCCGCCATTTTGGATTTGAGAATTTTCAAAAATTGACTGAAAATTCAATTTTCCCGTCTAAAAGTACCACCAGACACCGAATTTCAGAAAAATCCATCGAACAGGAGCCGAGATAGCATTTTAAGCCACGTCGTCATCTTGGATTTGAGAATTTTCAAAAATTGACTAAAAATTCGAGTTTCCCGTCGGAAAAAACCCCGTAGAACAAAGTTTCACGAAACTCGAACGAACATGCAGAAACCGAGCTATCATTTTAGGCCACGTCCGCAATATTTGATTTGAAAATTTTCAAAAATAGACCAAAAATTCGAGTTTCCCGTCGGAAAATACCGCGCGACACCGAATTTCAGTAAAATCCATCGAACAGGAGCCGACAAGCATTTTAGGCCACGATTGTCATCTTGGATTTCAGAATTTTCAAAAATGGACTAAAAATTCGAGTTTCCCGTTGAAAAATACCATCTGACACCGAATTTCAGAAAAATCCATCGAACTGGAGCCGAGATAGCATTTTAAGCCACTTCAGTCATTTCGGATTTTCGAATTTTGAATTTTTTTAATTTTGACAGATTTTGATTTAAAACGCGTGATACCCAAAATCGAAGCTCAGATTTGGATTCCTCGTAAAAAATCGATGCGATTTGATGTATCATACCCTGATACCGAATTTCAGAAAAATCCATCGAACAGGAGCCGAGATAGCATTTTAAGCCACGTCCGTCATTTTGGATTTTCGAATGTAGAAAATCTGACTTAAAACGCGTGATACCCAAAATCGAAGCTCAGATTCGGATTCCTCGATAAAAATCGATATAATTTCATGTATCATACTCAAGCATAGCGTGAAGGAAAGAGACGTGACGTAGACATACTGATTCAAGCATGCAACGTGGCAACATGGGTAGTGCTCAGTGGGTCAGCGGAGGAGGAAGAATAAGAATTTATCGTGAGGAATTCCTCGCGACGAAACCGAACGCTTAGCCGGCGCTTACGCGGCGCCTCCCCGTTCGGTTTCACTCGGGAGACAGGCGGCGGCGTAGTTCAAAGGGGAAGTACGACAGAATCTACGCGTCGTTAATAGTCTGTTCTCATATGTACATCCGTGTGCAACTTTCTGAAAAAAGTTGGTGAGTGGTATCAATCTCTTCGTTATGATGTCTAGAATCAGAATTTGGATGGTGATAACCTTGAAAATCGTGCAGGAAGCGCCTAAAGCCCAAAAACAAAATGGCGGCCGCTCGGTAGGCCTTATTTTTGAAAATTCCGTATTATGGCATGTGAGGTATCGATTCCTATGTTTTTTGGGTCGTAAAATCCGAATATAATGTTTAAAATACCCTCCGATCAAAAAAAATGTCGCAAATCCAACATGGCGGCTGAAAATACCCACCCGGCGCGAAAATCGCTGAGTTCTCATTTGGCCGTCTAGTAAGGCGGCCAATGATTGTATTGTGTGGTCCCAGGTTTCAAAACAGAGTTACAACTCACTGTACAGCCCATAAAAAAAACCAAAATCCAATATGGCGGCCAAAATGGCCGCCGATCGAAACCTGTATTTTTGGTATCGGCGTATGGCGTCGAGTGGGGTATCGTTTCTGATGTATTTTGAGTCGTACATTACGAATATGAAGTCAAAAATTACTCTTGGCCAATATTGAAGCTCGTAAATTCATCATGGCGGCTAAAATGGCAGGCATGGATAGAATAAAAGCAATTACACACAGCGGTAGTCCTGATTTAATACATTTGTGGGGCCTCTCAAACCAAATTCAAAGTTAAAATTCATCTGATCACACGTATACGCCTTTGCCATCCACTTTGACACTATAAATGGCTGCTACAATAGCCGATCTTAAAGGATAAAATAACCACGTAAAATGTGGATGTCGAGGTAAGTAGTGAAACCATGCATCCTCGGGACGGCTATCAAATTTTAGGGTGTACTTACCTTTTGCGAAGTTTCTTATCGGAGTATCCAGGAGAATTTGTCTGCAAAGTCTGCTAATCAGCCGCGAATAAAAATAAAAGTACAAAATACTCACAAAAGTCTAAAACTGGACCCGACAAGCGAGTAAGACTTAACACTGTTAGAAGATTTTATGTGTGTTTGGGCAAATAAATAATAAGCAAAGTAGATGAATCATGTTTTTCGATGTATTTCCTTCAATGATTACAAAAATGTATTTTCAATTTAAAAGTTGTGTTATATAGATTTTGCCTCAAATTACCCAAAATCATTAAATACCTTCACATATTACCATGCCATACCGTCTTACCTTACAATATTACCATGCCATACAATATTACCTTACCATAGTACCATGCCACACTATATGACCATGCCATACCCTAGTACCTTACCAATTACCATGTTACCTTGCCAATTTTTCCTTAACATATTAACATTTTAAGTATAGAAGCTCTGAGAAAATATCTTGAGTTCTGATTGATTTACTCATCACAACTGTCGCTGGATTCATCAATGGCCTCTTCGTCTTCTCCCTCATCATCGGAGGATTCTATGTTGTCACAATTTGAAGCATCACCTTCACATTTGCACATTTCTGTGCATTTTAACCCTTGTGACCTACAGACGCAAGGTAAAGTGCAGCGCTTTTTAACACAGTTGCATCGGCAAAGTTCCCAGACCAAGTCTGGAATGCAAGGAATAGTTGAGGTTATCGGCTCATATTTGTCCTCAACTTTTTGCCATCCAAAATTGATAGGTGAAGGGGTTTCAGGGAATTGAACCAGATCCTGATTCCAAACTAAAGCTTGTAAGTGTGCTCTCAGAAGAGCTGGATTTAAGGCTGCTTTTGTGGGAGGCAGATTTTCATCTTGGCATTGCTTTTTGGAGAACAGCCACCATATTACATCGCCTATATCTGTTAATGTGGTCTTTGGAAGGTACAGCTGACAAACACATTTCTCTAGCTGTGCTCTAACGTCTTCAGGTAGGAGCGATGTTTTCCCAAGCTGTACTAATGCTTCCAATAATTCATTATCTGCGGACTGAAAGGTTTTCCACCATTTTGGTTTCCCCTTATGTGCAAAGGATCCTGTAATGTCAGCGCCTGACAGCGCATGCAAGCCTACAAGAGCAGATGCTTTAAGAGGTCCAAGGGCGTTGTAAATTGGAAGTAGGTCAATAAACTTTTTCATACCCTGCCCTATAAACATTCCAACTTCAGCGGTGAGCATGGGGATGCGTCGCAAAGCTAAAATTACCACATCTGTATCAGGTGAATATATGTGTGTGCTAATTACTCCTTTTGTAGCGACAAAAACACCGTGTAGAATCATTTTTGTGTCAGCTTCCTCTTGCGTTGTTTGAAGGCACTGCACATCGGTGCCATCCGAAGATTGCACGTTGTTTCTCCAACTCACAATAAATTTCAACTTCTTAATCTTTGCTGACTTCAAAATTTGAATAGAAAGGAAGTTAGTCAAATCATCCTTCGTTTTGTCATGGGCCAGAAGTTTTCCCATTGAAATAGATGCAATTTTCATGTCTGCTGATATTTTGTAATGAATTGGTTCATTACCTTGCTGACGGCGTGTGTCATTTTTCAGAGAGTTAGCTTGGTAAGTATCAAAAACAATATGAGTTTCATCGTAACAGCTGAATTTTTTAATCAACCAGTTGGAAAAATCCTTTGCGAGATCCTCGCACGTCTTGAGCCCTGCTGGCTTGAAGTAGCAGTGTAAAAGAGCCATACCGTCTATTATGGCTGCTTTTTTTCCACTCAAGTCTGGCGATTCATTAGTGACTGATGAGGAATTTCCTTCATCTGCTTGTTGTATTGAAGTTCCTGGTAGAGATTCCAAAATGGACAGGAGTTTCGATTTATTTGTGCAGTGAAGCATTCTGCCGTCGGGACCAAATAATGATTTAGGAACTCGTATGTGCTGATGTTAAATTTTACATCGACATCAGGCCGACGTCGCGATGCAATTAACAATCTTGAAATTAAAGAAAAATCCGTTTTCATGACAATTAGACGGTCTTTGTGGCATACTTTTATCTTTTTTGATGCCGATGCAAATGAATTATCTTTAATTTTTGTCATACGAGACCAAAACGGAGTGGTTTTTTTTTTCAATTCTTTCAGAAAAAAATTGTTTCTCAGCAGTTTTGCCAATTTCTGCAACATTATTGACAAAATTGCAGACCTCTTTCGGAAAAACGCGATTCGTGAGAATATGGGTTAGCTCTGAATTCTTGCACTGGAAAGGATTCGTCGTATTCTCAAATTCTGCTTTAATCTTTAGGACGTTTTCATCCTGGCGCTTTTGAATTTTTGTAGAAAGCTCGTGATGCTTCGACGAAAGTTGATTTTCTCTCCCTAGTAACTTTTCCGTCTCGCTCGCAATTCTATCTAATTCAGGATACACAAGGAAAAATCTGTTTCGAGCATGACGAAAAAAAACATGATTTTTCAGTCATTATATCTAGTTTGCACGCCTAACAGAGTGCTTCCTAGATTCAAGACTGCTTTAAGAGCAGTCATTCATTGTGTCAAAATGGATGGCAAAGGCGTATACGTGTGATCAGATGAATTTTAACTTTGAATTTGGTTTGAGAGGCCCCACAAATGTATTAAATCAGGACTACCGCTGTGTGTAATTGCTTTTATTCTATCCATGCCTGCCATTCTAGCCGCCATGATGAATTTACGAGCTTCGATATTGGCCAAGAGTAATTTTTGACTTCATATTCGTAATGTGCGACCCAAAATACATCAGAAACGATACCCCACTCGACGCCATACGCCGATACCAAAAATACAGGTTTCGATCGGCGGCCATTTTGGCCGCCATATTGGATTTTGGTTTTTTTTATGGGCCGTACAGTGAGTTGTAACTCTGTTTTGAAACCTGGGACCACACAATACAATCATTGGCCGCCTTACTAGACGGCCAAATGAGAACTCAGCGATTTTCGCGCCGGGTGAGTATTTTCAGCCGCCATGTTGGATTTGCGACATTTTTTTTGATCGGAGGGTATTTTAAACATCATATTCGGATTTTACGACCCAAAAAACATAGGAATCGATACCTCACATGCCATAATACGGAATTTTCAAAAATAAGGCCTACCGAGCGGCCGCCATTTTGTTTTTGGGCTTTAGGCGCTTCCTGCACGATTTTCAAGGTTATCACCATCCAAATTCTGATACTAGACATCATAACGAAGAGATTGATACCACTCGCCAACTTTTTTCAGAAAGTTGCACACGGGACTGGATTTTTGTACATATGAGAACAGACTATAAACCTTTTTCCTTCACGCTATTCTAACATATGATACATGCCATCTCATCAAATTTTCACGAGGATTCCGAATCTGAGCTTAGATTTTGGATGTTACGCGTTTTAATCTATTTAAAATCGTAGAAGAAATTACAGAATTGTCCTTGAAAATTGATCACACATCAGTGTTTTTTTACGTCATTAAACCTCTTTCCTTCACGCTAGGTATTCTAACATATGATGCATGAAATCGCATTGGTTTTTCACGAGAAATCCAAATCTGAGCTTAGATTTTGGATATTACGCGTTTTAATATATTTAAAATCGTAGGAGAAATTAGAAAATTGTCCTTGAAAATTGATCACGCACTAGTGTTTTCTTTTACCCCGTTTTTCTTCTGCATTCACGTAATGAAATTAGATCAACAGACGACTCATCAACTAGTTAGATCAACTCATCGACTAGTCTAGCCTAATCCCCCAGAATCGGTCTAAAGGGCGAACGATTTTATCAGATAAGATGTGCGGTCCTAGTTTCCGGGCAATTGCGGTTTGATGGAAGCTGCGATGAGGAGAAACGGAAGATATGCGAAACTCGGGCGGATATTAAGTGAGAAACCAGGTAGGGGAAAGGCTTTCTTCCCGAAAAGTTAGTGCTCGGGCCAACTTACATGGTCACTGGAGCATTGTATAGCAGGATGTGGGAAACTATTTTTTTGCAGCAACAACCAATTGGATCGCACTTTGCAAAAGGGAACTAAGAGCATTTCAATGTTGCTGGGATTATGCAACTTAGGTACATTCTTTGCAAAAAGTACACTTTGCGACGGTAATTTTCGTCTTGAATTCATAGTTTATTGGGAGTAGAGGTGAAACTAGTTTAGATGATCGTTTACTTATGTTTGCAAGGTTAGCGACATTGGATTGCTCTTGAGGGTTTCCGTGAGACATAGTTCCTTTTGCATACATACGTTCAATTATGCTGCCGTGCTAAGGAAGAACGCCGTATGAACATTCGAGAGTTGCCATTTTGTCTCGGAAAATATTCATTTTTGAAGAAAGTTATCAATATTTTTCCTTGAAATTTTCAGACTTCTTAGATCAAATTGCAAACTAAATTACCTGAGAGATTGGAAGAAAAATATTCATAAATGATCTTGAAAACTAGTGATTTTTAAAGGCAATTTGGCAACGCCTGAGGGTTCATACGGCGTTTTTCTTTAGCAGGGCGGTATGGGAGAGAAGACTCTGGACTCATAACCCCTAGCTGTCCTCCCCAAATGACGGATCCTAGCTCTTCAAAATCTCTCACAGGAATGGTGCAACAATGCTACATCCATATGAGAAAAAATGTGTGTAACGATGGAAAATGGAAAATTATAACTTTTCGTTCCCAATTTTCGAGAAATATTCTGCACATACCTACAGACATGGACCGAACTAGGGGATAAAGGGGGCGAGGGCCTACCTTTCTAGATTCTGCTTAGTCTTTTTATAGAATAAGGGGTACTGTAGGGTGTCCCTCATTTTTTAAATTTGCAAATTTCAAGTTGGTCAACCTCTCAAAAGTTTCTATGTGATGTAAAAACACACCTGCTTTTTTGAAAAAAAATTAAAAAAATTTTTTACCCGCCGCCCAAGGAGCGAAAAGGGCGCATCCCGAAAATAGGTCATTTCACATTTTTGAAGAGTCATTTCCGACTGAAAATGTCGAGTTATGACCCTTAGATCCGAAATTTCATCCGTTTTGCTTGAAAATCAACCGTTTAGTAGATACAGGAGCAAACACCATGGGCGCCAGAGTCGCGTGAGCGGGGGCCGGTACTGTGCCAAATAAGAGCTTGACGTATCCTCGATCCTTGAATAATTGAGGGGCTTGGAGGACAAGGCGCATAAGTGCAGTTTTTTAAAAAATTAAGATATTAGTAATATCGAGTAAAATTATTGGTAATGCACATTCTGTGAAAAATTGCTCCAAAATTGAAATTTTTAAGCATCAAAAAGTCAGTTTGAACTTTCTTTTCGCCCTAAGGATCCATGTAATTTCGAAACTTCGAACTCGCATTTCTCGAAATCGCAAAAACTGCACTTTTGCGCATTGTCTTCCAAGCCCCTCAATTAATTGTCTCCCGATCAACTTTTTGAACAGCTCAGAATTGCTCCTCAGACAAGCAAATTGTACACAATTTTGCTGTAAAAGCCCAGGTACATAAAAATAATTCAAAATAAGCAAGGATATCAGAGTTTGCAAAAATTCTACACACAAAGGTCCAGTTCAGTGTTAAGTAAATGCCCTTTTCTCTTGTTTTTTGACAGATGTTGGGACCGTCCCTGAGAACACGAGGTTCATAGTTTTCTTGATGAGTCTCCACCACGATGCAAGATTTTGGGAAAAACCGCACGAGTTCTATCCAGAACATTTTCTTCCTGAAAATGTTAAGAAGCGGCCAACGAGTTCATTCATCCCTTTTTCTACAGGAATGCGTGAGTGTCCAGGTAAGATAGTGGCTCAATAGGTAGTATGTATCAAAATTTCCTAGCCAAGGCTTAGTGAGGTCTTAGCTCTACGAGACGTTTCTTTAATAAAATTATCTTTTTTAGGTCAAAATGGTAAATCACTCCATGGCTTCACTGCTAATTACCTGTGATTTACAGATTGTTCGGGAGATGAAGTTCTTGAAGGTTAAAGGGTGATAACTCAGTAGCACTGCTACCACTAAAAGTGATTTGAAGAGAACAGTGATTTTTCGGAGTTCATAGTGTGGAAAATCAGCAATGCTTCTTTCTTTAAATTTTGATGTAAAAAGCATTTGGGAAATAACGTTTGTTCGCGTTAAGCTGTGATTAATCACAGCATAACTACAATCTTCTACTTTTAACATGTGAATCTACGAACGGTTGGAATTGGCGGTACTTTTAAGTTATCCTGTGAAAAATCACTGCTATTTTTCACCGTGATTTTTGCGTAGCTATAACAGTGAGTACGTTACCCGAAAGTAGCCGTTAAGCTCAAGCCTAGGTGGGATACTGGTAGATTATTTATTGGTGGGAGATCATCGCCCCAGTCCATTTGCCAACTTGTCTGCACGTTTAGAAAACGTTCAGAACACTTAATTACGCCTACGGGCCAAGTAGGCGCTCTCAACTTTACTCCGGTGTTCACGCCTCATTTACGAACAGCCACATCCTGCCACCATCACTTAGGCCGGGGAGCATCCCAAGCGACTGAGCTGGACCAGTAGCCGCCCGACTATGGGCCCCACAGCCGATTCTTCCGGTTCCCAGGACAAACATCAATCCTGGCGTCCGGTTTCCGTACGCTTTACGCGACTTTTGGGAGAGATATATCAACATCGTCATGCCGCTATCCTCCTTCCACTTGTGCACTGTACCAGTAGACTGGATCAGTAGATTTGGGCAAAGGACTGGGAAGATCTCCACCGACTGATCGACACCACTGATCACCTGACCGAATCTGATTTTGGACTTTCGTCCGCGATATAGACCTTTATCAAATGCTGAGATCTGAGGATTTTAGTTGATACTGTTGATACTGTCAAAAGCGCGTTAAAAAATTATTTGATCTATAGATCTGACGAGAAGGAAAGTTCCTGTCTCCCCCATTTCCAGATCGGGTGAAGGGCCGCCCCAACTTGCTGGTTTAACAGAAACGCGGGCGCCCTCTACCGAAAAGTGGCTGAACTTGTCTGCGGCCGGTGTATGCTCCGTTGCAGCCTGAGAAATTGAAGGCGACTTTCCGGCTCCTCTGCTACTCATAATCAGTAATATCTCTTTAGCAAAAAAACATTTTACTTTTGTGTTAATTTTGGCACCCAATTATCTCACATTAGGCAATAATGCCATGTTGCAAGAGGAAGCCAACTTTTTTGGGTTTTATTACTTTTAAATATGAGTACTTGATACTTAGAGTTATGTATCACTGAGAAAAAAAGTTCGGTAAATCCGAACTAGTTTGGTTCATATGGAACCAAGATTTTGTTCGGTACATACGACCGAATTATTTGGTCTGCTCAGCCGAACTTTTCGGTCCACTGAACCGAACTGTAAGAATTTATCATGGTTCGGTTGCGCAAACCGAACAATTCGGTTGAACAGACCGAATAATTCGGTTGTGTGTACCGAACAACATCGTGGTTCCATATGATCCAAACTAGTTCGGATTTACCGAACTTTTTTTCTCAGTATAGTTAATCATAAAAAAACACCTTCATCAGAGCTATTATAATTAATAATTTATTAATAATTTTTGTGATGCATGATTCCAGGAGCAAAATACACGATGCAGACAATGAAAGTTCAAGTTGTGCGCATTTTGTCTCAGTTTAAGATTGTATCTGCAAGAATGAAGCCCTGGAAAAATCCATTTTTGGAACTGAGTCTGGGGTTCGGCTTCACCGTTGTTCCTACTCGTGGTTGGCTTGTTACAGCTGAGCTGAGGAATCAGAGCTGATTGAATTTCTTTGCGGTGGCTATCAGAGTACAAAATTCGTAATTTTGAAATGTCTTCTTGTTTCTCTTCATCCCATGACTAAATGTAGTCAAGCCTCATCGGTCCAGCAATCACTGTAAATAGTCGGTAAATAGTCACTCACTGTAAACACATAAATATAGTCAAAGTTACATGATGATATTTTTCTGTACCTTAGCGGACGGTATCATCAAACATTTTAAAATGTAAAATAACTACCTAGGGGATTAAGTACCTGTGCTTCGCTCGAGATGAATTAGTTGTGTACAAGCCTGCGTATTTAAGGACATTGAACGCATTTTATTTATTCATGTAAATACCCCCAAAACAACAGTAATACTTAGATAATTCTTGATCGATACGCTTTCAACATCCAAAACATCAAATTAACACGCACATTGAGTCTAGATTTATAAGGTCCATATTTTCTCAAGTTCTTTGTAACTTCATAAGTCGGCAAATTGTTATGTCAAAAGAAGTCACGTTACGTAGCCTGAAAACCGGCAGAGATGTTTGTGCAAAATTTAATTCCTACCATGTGATGAAAATTTGGGGGGAAAAATCCTAATAATTATTACAAACGCTGCAATTTTTATACCAACTCATAATTTTGTCAAAAATTAATTTCTATTCAGTTCCGTTGCATATTTTTCCCTGAATGGCTCAAAGAATCCTCCAAGAGCGTGATTTCAGAGAAATCTTGAAAACAGGGGGGGGGGGGGCGCTTTTTCTAAGGGAATCACATGAAACCACAAAAAGTCGCTTAAATAAGGCTTGACAAAATTGGTCCAAGTCCTAGGTCTTTAAATAACAAGTATTACCCCGCCTATGGAATTCTCCTTACACCAGTGAGAGAAAATCAATACTATTTTTTGACAAGACCACGCGACTGACGACGGTTAGATTAAATTGTGACCCCCTTCTCCCACCCCCAAATAAACGTCAACATTTTGAAACGCTGCCATGGGAATGGTAACTGTCATAGAAATTGTAATCGATGTTCGGATCATCCCTCGAGTCTCTTCATCCCCGGATGACGCAAAAATCTTTAATACCTAGTTTTTTCTATTTATTATATTTATTCTCTATTCATATTTGTATTTATTTTTCTTGTATAATCTACATTTTAAACCAATAAAGGCACCTACCTACAATAGTTTCCGCCAATCTTAACTCATTATAACAACAGCGTTGCATTCCTTGAGTGTAGTTCCTCACACTGAATAAAAAGTTCCTCTTATTATTTAAAGAACTTTTAACGGATGCTTTCCTCACGACAGCAACTTAAATTATTCCGTAAACGGGGTACAGAGTATTAAGAACAATTCTAAGTGGTATATTCCATTTGATTTCGAAAAACCAGACAAGTATAGGTATGACATTAATTTGAAAGTGATTCTTCAGCTTCGGAAATAGTGCCATACTAAATCAAACAAGATCGATTAAAATTGTTCTTTTAGCCGAAGAATTCCAAAATGTTATCACTTTCACGTACATCATTTTTTAAACGGCACTCAGATATATAGCATATGACAGGAAGGGCCTCTTTATGAAAATGGGTACAAGAATCGTCGAGACAAGTCGATCGAAAAATGAAAACACAATTCAATCGACATAGATTCGATCGGCATTGATTCGTAAAAAAAAAATAACTTTCAAATCCTTGAAATAAAAACTCATTTTTACGTCGACGTCGTTTTGTTCAACGTCGGTTCACTCGACACAATGCAATCGAAAAATAGAAACGCAATTCAATCGACATAGATTCGATCGACACTCTTTCGATCGACAAAAATCGATTGACATTTTTTTCACCGACATACTATCCATCGGCATAGTTTTTATCGACGTATTTTCGATTGACATATATTCCATCGACATTGTTTACAATTTTCATCAACACTTTTTCGCTCGATAAATGATTATTGAAAAAGAACCACTATGTGGGGATTAGTGAAATAGCCGTTAGACACATCCCGATTTGTCTAGACACATCGCAATTTGTCTAGACACATCGCAATTTGTCTTGACACTCGCGATTTGTCCAGATTTCGGGATTTGTCTACAACATATGGCTTCTCAAAAGAAAATTTGTTAAAAATCCCATAGAAGGGATTTTTGACTAAAGTTGCTTGTAATGTCTAGAGAGGCACAGGCTAAAATTCCCCATTGATATCCCTTGTGCTTAGCCCCCTCAGCCCCCCAAAACCCCCTCCTAGAAAGGTTATAAAATCTATTTTTCGGCTATAACTCGCAAACGGTTGGAAATGGCGAGTTGCGTATGATGATAAAATGTTTCTGATCAAATTCTGCACAAAAAAGTTTTTATGATTTTTATTCGCCGGGCACTCCTTGAACCTTGACCCTCAAAATGGCCGCCGCGTATGGGCGCCATAGCGCGCTTTCTCACTGTACACGCATAGTGTACGGTTCTAGACAGGGCCGGATTTAAAGGATGGCCACATGGGCCGCGGCCCATGGCGGCAAATTCAGAGGGCGTCAAATGTTGTAATTTTTTCAAATGTAGGTATCAAGAAAAAAATCTGGTTCAGAAAAAAAATCACAAACGAGAAAAGGCGAAAAAATCTCTCATTTCCTTTAAGTTAAAGTATCTAATCTAATTCTAATCTAATTTTTCCGTCTCTCGGTGACACAAGAGACAGAAGTTGAGAGAGGAACCAAACACGCAATTTGGCCTGGAGCGGCGCGGCGCAGAGAGCAATGATGACGAAGACATGAGATGGAAAGGAGGAGCCCTCGGCGCGCCGGTAAGCATGAAACACATATTAGCGCCTACAAGAGTCCACGAATACTTCACGCATTGCGTCAAAAATACTGCGGTCAGTAGGGGTAGGCGTGAAACGCATAGCGCCTACAAGACTGTAGGGATACTTCACGAATTGCGCCAAACACAGTGAGGTTGGCGCGGTGGCGGAAATTAAAATCATTAAACCACATTCATGTTTATTCTTTCATAATTTTTTCGTTCTTTTCTTATAAATGAAAGGCCTCGTCCACACAGAGATAGGTTTACGGAACTTAATTTTCGCGCAAAGTTCCGTGAACTTTTGCTAAGTGTTGACAGGGTTTCCACAAAAAATGTGCCCAACACGGGTAGACGCATCTTATGCACCCCTCCTCCTCTGGCACGTTCACTGGATAGTTTGTATCGATGTTTCAAAACGAATGAGAAGGGGCGGCAAAATACAGGCCGCCCATGGGCGGCAAGTAGGTAAATCCGGCCCTGTGACCGCGCTGTCGCGCCGGGTAAGGCCTAAATAAGCCAATGGGGAGCCTGGATTTCGATATATAGACGTCAATGGATCGAAATCCTGGCTCTCCATTGGCTTTCGTCTTTCAATCGCGGCGATTAATCGCCGCGTATATTTAGGCCTTTACTGAGCCCTAGAGTATCTCAACCTTCTCACCCCGTCTACCTCTATGAATGCCTGGAATTAACATGATATCGACGGTGAAACTACCAAACCACGTATCTCGTTTGCGGTGTTTAAAAATCTACGCTTACATTTTATTTTTTTGAAGTAGACCAAATCAATATCATTCCTTGAAATTTTCACGGAATTTTCTCCGCACAAAGAGGAAAAATCACAGAAATTTTCAAGACTGGATGTTAAGTAGTTTTTCATTTAAAAAATAAAGTATGACAGGAAGTCTGCGACGTCGCAAACCGAGATACGTGGTTTGGTAGTTTCACCGTCGATATGCAATACCTAATTATGTACAATTAACCTTGTTTGCTAGGAAAAATTCTGTTTTCAGTCGGTAAACATTGATGCCTGAGAAATGGCCTTTGGGCGAGATAAAGCTTAAAAGCAAAAAATAATATAGTCATATAAAATGTAGCAAGTCATAAACGGGGCTCAGTCGGTCTAGTCTTCCTCGTGGTGAAGTTCACTGTCGCGCGCAGATTATAGGTTTGATCCTCCAGATCAGTCCGGGCGTTCGTTTCTTTTTGAACTCGAATTTTCCGCCAGATCACGAAGATTTGTGTATCCGATACCTTCGCACGATCATCAACCCGGCCTCCTGATATTATATCGTTTACTCGCGTTCTAAACACGAAAATTTCGTGAATCCCAAAGTAGTTGCACAAATATAAAATCTGTGCGATATTTCGACCGCCGTATTCTTTTTGAATAATTACGGTGTATCTTTCACCTGGTATCGAAAACAATTTTTGTTTCACTAAAAAAGGTAAAATTTATACAACTGATAATTTTGTTGAATAATTATAAGAGGTCATTTAAAAGAAATCCGCGAGATACAAAGCTAGCCTTAATGGATAATAATAAAAATGAAACTTTCGTGAGAAAAAGATACGAAGTATATGTAAAAGACAGAAAGTTATAATTCACGCAACTCACAATTTTTTTCGTGTTAATAAAGGTTTAACTTTTTTCTGTATAAAATTTACTTGAAAGCTGTCATTTAGATACCTTAGCAAACATCCGTTTACTAAAAAATGTATATTTCTTTCCTCAGAGCGATCCTACAACTTGGTTTGTCCCTCACTTTAAATTTTATTCGACGGGAAGAAAGACCTTCCGTGCACGCAACAGCTTTTCGGAAAATTAAATTCTTTCTTATTCATTTCAACATTTTTAAACTATTTTCTGAGTAATTTTTCTTCTTCTTCCTTTTTGAAAAGACAATCAAAAAGTTCAAAGGGAAAAACACCACCCTTTTTATTTGTAATTCAAAACAACCATTATCGATTACATTAATAGTCTTAATTTTGATCCGATCATCATACCGAAAGTGTTCGTTTTTAATTCTGATTTTTTTCAAACACTTCAACAGATTCCTTACGGCTTAGGACTTGCTATTTTAAGGCTTAGAACTTGGTACTAACAGACCTACGGACTTGGGATTTTTATAGACTGCAGTCTATAAAAATCATGAACAATAACTCTACTCCAATTCATGCCCTCCCTCCCCCTAATAAATCACCTCCGCTTTTTCGATTTGAGAATACTAGTCTCTACATGTTTTCCTCAATTGCTTTGATCTCTTTTCTTAATTGATTTTAGATGATTTGGTTCCTGGCGAGTTTTTTGAAAGGCAGTGCCCTGAAAAGTGCATTCATCTGGTTCAGCGTCCTTGTAATATCTTTGTTGTTTTGGTACCGATTATGGAATTCAAGGGTGGATAACTTCCTAGAGTCTCTACCAGGACCGCCAACTTATCCCATAATTGGAAGCATCCATTTATTCGTCGGAAAATCTAAGAGAGGTCATTAGTGTTTTCCTATTTTTTTACCTACTTATACGTCTTTTCGTTTGCGAGACAGTTTGACTTACAGTCAGTGAGCCGTGAAAAGTACAATTAGTCTGATCTACACCCGATGAAAATCGATGGCTAAACCTATGGAATCGTGTACCTCAATCGCGATGATGCGGAATCCTAATCTCTTTTCTCTCTACAAGGGGAAAAGAGCAAAATTTATTAATTAAAATTTCCAGAAAATATTCGCTTCAGACAGAAAAAAATGAAATTTTCAAGAAATTCCTGAAGTCTCCTTCCCTCTTTCCCTACTCCCCGCCAGAGAGTTGCGATCATATCATATACGGCCAATTAATATCATCCCTATGAAGGGCCAATGCGCCTAGGATATCCGCTTTATTAGTCAAGCAACGCTTGAGCTCCTTTGTGCTTAATTTGATATCCATGAAGATAAAGTTTACTTTGTAGTTGGCTATTTCTGCCAAAAGTTACATTTTACTGAGAAATTCCATCTTTCGTCTTTTGAATAATCCAACGATTTGCTAGACGGATACATGAGGGAGAACATGAAAAGCGGGATGCAAGAGTGCGCTGTGACAAAATTGGTGCAACCAATGCACTTATTTTGATTTCAGTGATTTGAAAAATGTATACGCTTATATTTTGAGGAGAAACCTATACACATTGTGTATCATCTTTTAAGATTTATTTCTTTATTTGGAAGTTTTGCGCACTGAAAAAAATGTATGCACTCACGCTTCATAAATTATGGGTCGGGGCCACATACAGTCTGTGAAAAATTTGATGCCGACCTATGAATAAAAACAGAGTCAATTTCAGTATGAGCAAATATTACATACGAAGAGTATATACTCTGAGTCAACACCGTATGGACCCAGCGTCTATATCGTATGGACCCAGCGTCTATATCGTATGGACCCAGCGTCTATATTGTATGGACCCAGCGTCTGTATCGTATGGACCCAGCGTCCATACCGTATGAACGGTAAGTTCATACACATGCTTTTCCATACATGACATGTTTACCAGTGGCGTGGCGTGAATTGCGATATATCGATTGTAATGCCATTTAAACCTATGGAAAAAGATCGATTATCAGGGTGTTCGCAGCGAACACCTTAGTAATCGATTCTTTACCATAGCATCAAATGGCGAGATATCGATAATCGATATCTCACGCCACGCTACTGATGTTTACGGCACATCGCTGCTCTAGTCGTGAAAGCCAGACCGTATGCACGAGCAGTTCATACCTTAGATTTTCCATGCAGTATGGACTCTCACTACATAACCATTTTTTTTTCTGTGTAGATTTGGAGGTAGCAGGAAAAATTCTTACGACTTCTATGGAAATAATGACTTGCTTTTACGTTGAGAATTAAATTGTAATGAGAAATTTCGAATAATATTGCCAACGAATCGCAATATTGTTTTGAATGGTCATTTCGCCTTAGAAATAGAATAATTCTGGTGTAGCATAAAAATAATCGCTTTCCCTTTGCTCTGTTAGATATCTTGAAAAAGGTCATGAGAACACTGGATTATTACTCGCGACACAAGATGTTCAGATTCTACGTTGGTAGGAATCACTATGCAGTGCTTGCAGATCCTCAAACCATTCAGGTTAGTCGATGCTTAAGTGAGTCAGTGGCGATTTTTTTCCGTTTCTTTTCCTGTATTTCATGATGTGATATTGCACGAAGATTATAAAATAAACTTATAGGTATGTCAGATGTTTAATTACGACATAGTATGGAAAAAATCGAAAAATTCAAAATTGTATGGTACCATCAGTTTATTAATCTAGATCATTAGTTTAAAATGGAGATCAGTGGTTTTTTCAACATGTCATAATATTATGGATTCCTACGAAACTTTCATTACCAACTTTTTTTTCTTTTCTTTTTTTGCAGAGTGTTTTACGAAACCCAAATTGTTATGATAAAGATGCCACTTACAATTTTTTTAATATTCCGAATATACTTTTCACTGCCAACGGTAAGTGTTTATTAATTCCTTGATGGTTTGTTACTTTTACTTGGATGCCAACATTAGTACTGTTCATGCGTATAGATGACTGTACAAAAAATTATGAAAATATTTGAATGTTTGATGAGTTTCATTTGCCGGTTTATTAAGTGTAAGTATACATTGGAGGGACTTGGAGGACAAGGCGCGTAAGCACAGCTTTTACTATTTTGAGAGGTACGTGTTTGAAGTTTCGAAATTACAGGAACCCTCATGGCGGAAGGAAAATTCAGGCTGACTTTTTGATGCTTAAAAATTGGAATTTGGGAGCGAATTTTTCACAGAATGTGTATTAAGACTATAGCTTTTCTTGAAATCATTAATATAACAATTTTTCAAAAACTGCACTTATGTGTCCTCCGAGCCCCTCCTTTATACTGTATACCTCAATACTTTTGATTCATGTGCTTTAACTAGTTGACCGCCTGTTAGTCTAGTTGACAGGCGTTTGAGTAGTTTATTTTCCTATCCGAGCGTTAAAGTCACCAAATCATCATTGGGAGGGATTCTTTATTTAAAATTAGATTTACCTTTTACTTTCACGATTTTGTCATTCTTTTATTTTTTATCTGTTGACTTTTATTTTTACTTATTTTTTTCGGAGCTCCACGTTAAGATCGAAAAAGAATCTGGTACCAACAGGCCCTCTCCGTGACTCCGAAACACGACATTTGCATTTTTCTCTCAACTTCTGAGAGTTTAACTGAAGGCATTGGCAGATCCAGCAAATCGGTAGCATTGTTTTCCTCCATTTAAACCTATGGAAATGTATCGATTCTTGGGGGGCAGGTGCTCTGACACGAATCGATTATTTAACATAGGTTTAAACGCGGAGGGAGTCCGGCGTTGCCAAAAAGGATCCATTACGGAGTTGTGAGGGCATTTAAGAGTACGAATGCTTGGGCTGTCCCCTTCAATTAAATTTTGTCGAGAGATTATCGAGTAGTGGCCGTTGCGGTAGCGTATCAAAGCAGCCCGTGAACTTGAAAGAAAAGTCATCTGTTACACTATAAGCTCCGAGACCTCCTACATTTGCGTATCCGGTAACGCTTAGTTCCAGCGTTCTCCCGGGCCGATTTTCATGATTTTTGCTGCTATCGACAGGCAATTGTCTCTAGATGAGCCCGCTTTATTTGGATTTTGAAAATATGACCCAGGTCTTTTTATATTGCGTGGTAAAGTTGAGGATTCTCCCATTGAAACGATGTAAATTTTTATTTTTTGTCATAGTTCGTTTGAGCGTTCTACCGGGCCGAATTCCATGACTTTTGCGGTTATCGACAGGTGATAGTCCCTAGATGAGCCCGCTCTTATAAGATTTTGGAAATAGGACCCAGGTTTCTTTTATATAAGAGTACACAAAAGAGCTTAGGAAGGAGGCAAAATTTAAAATTTAAAAAACGCAAGATTCAACATTTCTCGCTTTCTTCAATTTTCCGGTAAATTTGAAATTCCCGCCATTTTTAATTGACGGGAATTTCAAATTTACCGGAAAATTGAAGAAAGCGAGAAATGTTGAATCTTGCGTCTGTCAGTAGAGTAAAGTAAGTGAATCGAAAGTACGCTCCTATGCTACAGACTATTCGAGAAGGTACCCAAAAAAACCCCGGAATTTTGCTGTAACTTGGCAACGGTGGAAAATATCCGGGTTCTATTGCTGAGAGGTGTAACTAAGAGCTGTGAGGAGTCACTAGGAGTCACCAAATTTTGACGTCGTAGCACATTTTGTTTCGTTTTTGCGAGCCCCCACGTGAGGGATGTTCGCTGAGCTCGTCGTTTTCGATGATAGGTGATTTTCACAGGCACTGCGCGGCTAAACTCTGCCAATTTTTGGAGTGAATCTTGCAGGGAACATGCTTAACCTATGCCATAAGTGAACACATTTTTTTCTTCGTTTTAAAGTGTGATTTGTTGTTCGAACGTCGGCTGAACGCCAGGCGGCCGTCACCGACTAGAGCGCAAAATGGGGGACCTATTTGGCAACAGCGCGTTGTAGGCCCACATTTTTCACAGCAATGTTTTGAATAATTCTGTATTACATTCCAGGGAAAAAAAGCGTGAGGGGTTATCCCCTGAAATTGTGGTACTACCCCAATTTGTCGGATGATATGGACATTTCTAATAAATTTTGGTAGTACCGCAACATTTAGGTTAGTAACCTAATTTATTGGGGTACTGCCACAATTAATTGGGGTATCACCACAATTGATTGGAAATGTCCATATTATCCAACAGTTGGGACTTAGCTCCCACCTCTTTTTTTTCCGTGTCAGAATGAAGAAATTTCTCTGAGGAAAGTTGTTTTATTTACTAAAATATTATTATTTTCTATTTTATAAGTACAATTTGTCTACTACAGGTGAGCCTTGGGTGCAGGAGAGGAAATCGGTAAGTCCGGCATACAGTCCACGGATAATATCTGCTATAGATCCCACCTACTCGTATCGGATACGCGGCCTCGTGGACGCTCTCAGAAAGCGGGCTGCTACTGGAGAGGTGTTCAACCTCATCGAGCACGTACTTCCTATGGCTATCGATACTATTTGCGGTGAGTCGCATGCCACTTCTGCCATGTTGGTATTACAGCATTTGGCCGAGTATACACTGAAAAAAAAATCTCGGTGTATTTATACTGAGAAAAAGGTAAAATTACCAAGAATTCGGGGTTAATTCTATTTGATCCCAGTTTTTTCTTGGTAAAATTACCATTCATGAAATTAGTAATTTTACCGAGAAATCTCGGTAAAATTATTGAACTTTCTCGGTAATTTTACTGGACCTTAGTAAAAACGCCAATATTTTTTATCGACTGTGGTAGAATTACCGAGATAAAATGGCAAAGTTACCGAGAATTGATTACCAATAAAAGTGGTATTCTTACCTGAAAAAAAAAACAGTAAAAATACCGGTTTTTAGGTAAGTTTATCAGTCTGTCTTAGTAAAATTACCAATAATTCGTAAAAAAAGTGAGATAGTAAAGGTACCAACGGACCTTGGTATAAACGCCGAAAATTTTTTTTCGGTGTATAGTTCGGGCGAGCCCAAATTAATGAACCACTCCAGACAAGGTGCGAATTTAAGGATTCTGACGCACATGTTTCGTAACCAGAATTTCACGTAGAACATGATTCTTGTATTGAAAATTACCAAAATCATTTTCTATCTAGGATATCAACGTTTTTATTTTACATTGGTTACAGGAAATAAGCATTGCCCGATCAGACGAGACTCAATACTCTACGTGAGTCCAATCGCGCCCTACAGCGGTTTTGACAGGCTTCTCAATTCAGCACTGTTCATTTCCCAACCTGCGTTGTTCAAACTATAAGCAACTTGCTGCAGCTGAGCCTAAGCGTCAAGATTGAGGTTTTTAGATTTTCATATCGCAGAGAGNGGCAGATCCAGCAAATCGGTAGCATTGTTTTCCTCCATTTAAACCTATGGAAATGTATCGATTCTTGGGGGGCAGGTGCTCTGACACGAATCGATTATTTAACATAGGTTTAAACGCGGAGGGAGTCCGGCGTTGCCAAAAAGGATCCATTACGGAGTTGTGAGGGCATTTAAGAGTACGAATGCTTGGGCTGTCCCCTTCAATTAAATTTTGTCGAGAGATTATCGAGTAGTGGCCGTTGCGGTAGCGTATCAAAGCAGCCCGTGAACTTGAAAGAAAAGTCATCTGTTACACTATAAGCTCCGAGACCTCCTACATTTGCGTATCCGGTAACGCTTAGTTCCAGCGTTCTCCCGGGCCGATTTTCATGATTTTTGCTGCTATCGACAGGCAATTGTCTCTAGATGAGCCCGCTTTATTTGGATTTTGAAAATATGACCCAGGTCTTTTTATATTGCGTGGTAAAGTTGAGGATTCTCCCATTGAAACGATGTAAATTTTTATTTTTTGTCATAGTTCGTTTGAGCGTTCTACCGGGCCGAATTCCATGACTTTTGCGGTTATCGACAGGTGATAGTCCCTAGATGAGCCCGCTCTTATAAGATTTTGGAAATAGGACCCAGGTTTCTTTTATATAAGAGTACACAAAAGAGCTTAGGAAGGAGGCAAAATTTAAAATTTAAAAAACGCAAGATTCAACATTTCTCGCTTTCTTCAATTTTCCGGTAAATTTGAAATTCCCGCCATTTTTAATTGACGGGAATTTCAAATTTACCGGAAAATTGAAGAAAGCGAGAAATGTTGAATCTTGCGTCTGTCAGTAGAGTAAAGTAAGTGAATCGAAAGTACGCTCCTATGCTACAGACTATTCGAGAAGGTACCCAAAAAAACCCCGGAATTTTGCTGTAACTTGGCAACGGTGGAAAATATCCGGGTTCTATTGCTGAGAGGTGTAACTAAGAGCTACGAGGAGTCACTAGGCCAAATTTTGACGTCGTAGCACATTTTGTTTCGTTTTTGCGAGCCCCCACGTGAGGGATGTTCGCTGAGCTCGTCGTTTTTGATGATAGGTGATTTTCACAGGCACTGCGCGGCTAAACTCTGCCAATTTTTGGAGTGAATCTTGCAGGGAACATGCTTCACCTATGCCATAAGTGAACACATTTTTTTCTTCGTTTTAAAGTGTGATTTGTTGTTCGAACGTCGGCTGAACGCCACACACTGTGGTATTTGACCGAAAAACCTGGCCAAAACCTCAATTTCAAATTTTTTTTTATTGGAAAACCAATGTGATATTCGAAATCTATACTGTTTTTTACCCTGGTAGACATGTATATACCATTTTTCGAGTGCCTCAATTTCCCGCGAAGAGACCACGAAGTTACCTAATTCTCAGGCATTATTTTGATATGTTTTGGCGCGCTACTTGTCGATCAGTTTACTTCAACTGTGCGGCCATAAAAGGGAACTTCGGGGATGTGCAACACATTCTTAGGGGTATATTCTACACAACTAACCACAGTATTTTCGAAATTTCCTTTTTTAGTGATTTTCACAGGAGGTTGAAAAGTGATGTAAAAGTAAACGTTTTTTTCGAAATTCAGAGTCCGATTTCTTTTTGCGCTCAATTGCGCTCAAGCGGTTGAAGGCGGAATGTTATAGTCCAAAGTGGGTATTTTCAGGATTCAGGGGTGACAGACTGAGGAAAACTGAGGAAATTGAAATTTTTGACCTCAAAGATGGACTTTTGAGCGATTTTCACAAACATGAATGGGAAAAATTATGTCGATACTAACGACCGAAATTGTATTTTTCCAACAGCTCTGGCCCATTTAGTACCAAATTGGGTGATATTTGGTCACGCAACCTGTTTCTCTGGCCCCTGCGCCCTCGAAAGAGGGATAAAAAAAATAATTTGAAAGCGGATGGGAGGGTCACTTTAAAGTCTTGCAAAAGTGTTTAATCTGTTATTTAACAATCTCTTCGTGCATTAACCCTGAGTATAGACATATTTATGCGATGTTTTACTTTTACAGACAAATTTGAGTCCATGCGGCCGCGGGGTGGGGCTTTAAAAGTGGCCCTCTGGCACCATGAAATTACGATGAGAGGCACATTTGAAGCCTCGTAAAAGTGAGATATGTGGTTTTGTTACGAATTTCGCAGTGAAGTGCCCTCACTTTGAGATGTGAACCATGGGTTAGGAAGGAACCCATCAAAATGAATCATTTTCACAGGTGCTTTCTGCCCTTACAATCGTTCTTATTATGATAAAACTCATTTTCATCTTATAATTTAACCTCAAATCATCATATGGAGGTCCCGGCACTTTCATACTAGCACTAATTTTTATTCAAAACTGTCAAAAATCTAATATCTAGAATGATTCATATTAATTTTTTTGAGAAATGTACAATAACTCCTCAATGTGAGAGATCGGCTGTTTCGTCAAAAATTTTGAAGTGACTCACGCTGTTTTTAAAAAAAAACCATAAATAAGGTAATAGAAAGTCCTTATTTCGAAAAGTATACCATAGGTGAAGGAGAAACTCGTCTAAATGCACCGCTATAGTCAGATACTTTGCGTCCTTTTGAAGGCTTTTTGGAGGGCTTCTTGCACCCTCTCTATAAACTCTCCGCAAATTGTCATATGATGTGTTAGGTGGTTAAATTGTGCATATTATCACTTAAGAAGAAGTACTGATTGTAAAATATTGTTAAAAGTCGGCGATATCTGGTGATAAATAGTTTTGGCCAGCTTTTCAGGTCCAATACCACAGTGTGCGCCAGGCGGCCGTCACCGACTAGAGCGCAAAATGGGGGATCTATTTGGCAACAGCGCGTTGTAGGCCCAAATTTTTCACAGCAATGTTTTGAATAATTCTGCATTACATTCCAGGGAAAAAAAGTGTGAGGGGTTATCCCCTAAAATTGTGGTACTACCCCAATTTGTTGGATGATATGGGCATTTCTAATAAATTTTGGTAGTACTGCACCTCAGGTTGGGGTAGTACCGCAACATTTAGGTTAGTAACCTAATTTATTGGGGTACTACCACAATTAATTGGGGTATCACCACAATTGATTGGAAATGTCCATATTATCCAACAGTTGGGACTTAGCTCCTACCTCTTTTTTTTCCGTGTCAGAGTGAAGAAATTTCTCTGAGGAAAGTTGTTTTATTTACTAATATATTATTACTAGCCGTTCTGGACGCGCTTTGCGCGTCCGTCACGGCCAGCCGAGGGGNTGATTGGACATTTGATCACTAAGATGTATACATTTTGGAGACTCTGGAGGCAAAAATGATTTCGTCACCGAACTCTGTTGCCGAAGCATGCCATCATTTGCACATGAATAGATGTATGGAGATGAAGCGATGATGGGGATCGATAATTTCTTTAAAAACGCATTTGACTGGGACGTCATCCCATCAGGTGGCGGAAAAAGACAATCCATGGATCTCCTTCCGCAATTAGACTTGCTGAAGTAGCAAAAGTTCATCTTTACCTCTTAAGAAGATTATCGGTGGCGTAGGGGTCTAAAAACTACTCAACGATAGTATAGTTCGAATTCCGAATCGCAATGAGCCCACTCGTGTTTTTTTTCTTATACTTTCATCGCATATAAATTTCTCTGATGTTTTTGTTTTATTCTCTCTGACTGCATATTAGTAACCATATCCTCATTGCATTTCCTTTCCCTTTCTGTAGCATCGGTGTCCATTTACAATTATTATTTTAAAATAGCTTTCCCCTAGTATACAATTGATGCTTCAAACGGAATCAATTGTTTTAATGAAATTTCCGGCTAAATCATGGGTTTTCCCAGGAAGGCAGTCTCTCGTCCCTCCCGAACTCTATTGTTGCCAGATAAGTTACTTTTTTAGCACTATTCCCAATTCAAATCCATGTAAAATATTCACATTTATCGCACAATCTGGCAACCTCTCGAGTGAAATAGAAAAAGGTAGAATCGCTGAAAGTCTGAATCCTTCGAAGTTTATATTAATGATTTTTTATTTTATAAGTACAATTTGTCTACTACAGGTGAGCCTTGGGCGACGGAGAGGAAAGCGGTAAGTCCGGCATACAGTCCACGGATAATATCTGCTATAGATCCCACCTACTCGTATCGGATACGCGGCCTCGTGGACGCTCTCAGAAAACGGGCTGCTACTGGAGAGGTGTTCAACCTCATCGAGCACGTACTTCCTATGGCTATCGATACTATTTGCGGTGAGCCGCATGCCACTTCTGCCATGTTGGTATTACAGCATTTGGCCGAGTATACACTGAAAAAAAAATCTCGGTGTATTTATACTAAGAAAAAGGTAAAATTACCAAGAATTCGGGGTTAATTCTATTTGATCCCAGTTTTTTCTTGGTAAAATTACCATTTATGGAATTGGTAATTATACCGAGAAATCTCGGTAAAATTATTGACTTTCTTGGTAATTTTACTGGACCCCGGTAGAAACGCCAATATTTTTTATCGACTGTGGTAGAATTACCGAGAGAAAATGGCAAAGTTACCGGGAATTGATTACCAATAAAAGTGGCATTCTTNGTTTGACTGACCCTGACTTATTAACTGCAGTATTGCGTATTGCTAACAACACGTATTGTTACAGATATTTTATTCATCATTATTAAGTAGATTCAACTAATTGCTCCGATTCCAATTAAGGTACTGCACCACCATTGCTAGCTGTGGAGGGCGCCCGTAGGGCGTCCGGAGCAGCTAGTATATAAATATTTTTCTTGAATTTTTCGAATATTTTAAATTGAACTGTGAATAAAGCTGTTTGAAAAATTGGGAGAAAAATATTTCAAACTATTCCAATAAATTTGTATTTTATCAAAGGAAATTTGGTAACGCCTGAAGGTTCATACGGCGTTTTTCCTCAGCACGGCAGTATTGGTAGAAGAATAAGTTGAGCGGAGACAATAGTTGCGCAACAATTGACGTTATTTCATACAAATCGCTCTGGTAATAAACATCCTACACCACGTCATTGATGCTTCTTTTTCTTTCTTTGCAGATACTTTTATGGGAATCTCAATCGACATGCAAGCTAGAGACAATGCAAAATACGTGAAAGCACTTTTACGGTAAGTACTTGAGTACTGAGGCAATTTTTTCTTTTTTTACGTAAGACAAATCTTCTAGGAAATCTTTTTGGGAACCTCTCACTACGAGTTTACAAACACAAAAAACTTAATAACTCATAGTTTTAGTACCCGAGCAAAAATCAGCCTTGACCTAATTTTTAAGAGTTTTCATTTTTGTACGCACTTTGGTGGGAAAGTATTCTTATAAGAATACTTATATTCAGCAATATATCATGAATATGCGAGCGGCAATTTGAATTGTTGCAAAGTGATTCCGTCTTTTCCTCCGATCTTTGTTCGTGACTTGTTACAGCGCCATCGTAGGACAAATCGATGGCTAAACTGCACAAGCACTGCGGACTGCCAGTCATAAGAAATTCTTTAAATGAAAAAATAGTACTCATCGTCATCCTCGGAAAATTCCCAAAATTTTCTGTTGTTTTTCTGTGGAGAATATTCTGTGAAAATTTTAAGGAGTATTAGTCCCTCTTCCTTTGATAAAATAAAATGAGAGCAGACATCTTGAGACACCGCAAACGAATTACGCGCTTTCGCAGTTTCACCATCAAAATGTTTTATGGGAACTTTAAGACGATTTAGGTCTCGTGTCTTACTTATACACCACAACAAAATTATGAACCACTTCAAGGTATTATGTGTAATTTTTAAATAAACCCTCAGAATGTCCACTAGCTATTCAACTATTATTAATGTTATTACGTATTTTAAGTCACTATATTTATTTTGGAAATACTGATTCATTGTTTTTCCATTCACAGAATACCGGATCTCTTTATTGAGCGTGTCGTGATCCCGGTCTATCAACCTGAAATAATCTACTCGTTGACTGGAAAGAAAAAAGAATACCAGTCGTATGCAAATGTATTGTTCGCATTGGTTCGAGAGGTAATTTTTGTCCTAAAAACCATACATAGATACATTTTTAAATGGAGGAGCTTGGAGGACAAGGCGCGTGAGTGCGGGTTTTGAACAAATTGAAATATTCATTTACTCAACTAAATATATATTACGGCGCATTTAGTGAAAAGTTAGATGCAAGAACCTAACCTAACAGAACTAGTAAATCCCATATCCATCACAAAAAAGCGGGAAGTACAATTTTATTCTATAGTGGAGTGGATGGATGGATATGGTAAAATAGAGGGGGATGCAAAGCGTTGTAAGTCGATAGAAATACCTAAACTATACATTGTTACTGCATGTAACTTTATTACCTAACATTGAGTTGTGTTTCAAAAATATAGTGTTGGAATACAGAGAGGAAGAAACCCTGGTAAAAATTGGCGATAGGAGCTGCGTTTCAAAATACCATAGGAGTTCTTATAGCCGACTGAAGAAAGCAATAGAAAATCATATAGCTGGCTGTAGAAAGTGGAAAAAATCATACGCCTGGGCTACACGAAGCGATAAAAAATTAAACAACCGGGCTATAGTTCCAGTCGCCGGGCTTTACACTTTATCTCCTGGCTGTTGCTTTTTCGTCATCGGCTGTAAAAGGCTATAAGAAATTGTGTAGAAATTCGTGTGCTTTGTAAATCCTTAAGTTTGTACGGAATCACCTTAATATTCACAAAATGCACATTATATTTTCCTTTACTACATATTTGTTTTCATCAATTAAAATGAGAATAATCCATACAGGATGTGCAAACATTTCAAAGTTATGAGTTGAACAACGCTGACTCCACGAGATTAAATATTAAAGCCTAATACAAAGCGGAGCGGCGGCGCACTTGCGCCTACAAACCTAACAGGGATACTTCACGCATTGCGCAATGCGTGAAGTATCCCTGTTAGGTTTGTAGGCGCCAATGCGCGTTTCGCACTGGCTGCCCGCCCGCCGCGCCGCGCCGCGCCGCAGCGTACCACGGCGCTTGAAGCAACCATTTCACACCAGAGGTATTGCACAGTATCGTACGAAACTGAAGGCGCTCCAACATATTTGGAATGGCAGGTATCCTTCAAAAGTACGGAGCTTTCCTCGCAAAATAAATCAAGATACTACGGCCCAAAAAGAGAGCGGTAGTCCAAAAACTCACCAAGTCCTAGCATCCGTAATTAGTAACGTTTAGCATACACTTTATCGTCAGACTGTTGCTCAATCGCCATCGGCTATAAAAGGCTATAAGAAATTGTGTTGCCGGCTTTAGCAGCTATTGGAAATCTTACAGTCGGCTGTAGGTCTATGGTATTTTGGAACACAGATTCTACTGCCAATTTTTACCAGGGGAAAGAGAAAGAAAACCTATGTTTGACTTTTTCACTCAAAATTACAAAAATACGAAGTTTCAGCTCTTTTTAATTCAGGAGAAGGGAAGTGGTGCATGAATAAATAGAGTGTGCGAAATCATTCAGAAACGGACTTACTGCAAGTTGTTTGAAATGGACTTTTTTCGCCAAAAAAAAAGGGAAATACTTTTTATGACGCATTTACAACAACTCATTTTTACGTACGGAAACGTAACACACGGACACTTCTTCTGAGACGAGCCGAAAAAAGTAAGTTCATACTTACGTAGTTCGGTCCGTTAAGTCTCAACTCAAATTTTGTTTAAAAATGTACAATTCTTCCTCACCCGAAAGGTCTTGGAGAAGAAGATGGAGCATCGCGCTGAGCTGAGGCAAACTTCTGGCGCAAGTCATGAGGCTGGCACGAAGCTCTTCTTAGATATCCTGTTGGATAAATTTGAAGCATCAGAAAAAAAGGATATGGACCTCTTGACCTACGAGACGGGCGAACTGTTTGTCGCGGTAAGATGTTTACTCGTGATTTTCATCTCATTGTCGCTTTGTTTTGTCGCCTTGGTAAAGGGCAGTTTCCGCGTGGTTTTTGACCGCCTCCTTACAAATAAATTGACGGTAAAATCCCAAAACATGTATTTCCGTATGTGACATCGCAGACTTCATGCCATACTTTACTTTTTCAGGGGAAAACTTTTCAACATTGTCCCTTGAAAATTTCATTTTTTTAAAAATGGTTTTTGTGCTGGCCACGCGAAGAATATTTTGTGAAAATTTCCACAAATAATGTTGATTTGTTCACCATTGAAAAATCAAATATCAACTATAAATTTCAAAAATGCGCATCTCGGTTGCAGTGTTTCAAAATCTACGCATTTACATTATTTTTAAAAAGGAAACCCTCACTGGAAAAGGTAATTTTATTTTCTGATCCTTTTCCCCGTGGATGATCAAAATTTGCATGAAAGTCGTGTTTCATTTTTGGTGTCGTTTACCGATTTTGCATTTCAATTTTCACAGGGAACCGTAACGATATCTACTATGGTGAGCTGGGTTTGTTTGCTGAGTGGTGTCTTTCCTGAGGTGGGCGACAAACTTCGGGCGGAGATAGATTCGTGCGTGGAGGATGCGCCGAACGCAACTATCGAGGATTGTGCAAAACTAGAATACTTGGATCTTGTTGTTAAAGAGGCGCTTCGTCACTTCACAGTCCCGTTTATCGCGCGAAAAGCTAAAAAAGATATTCACGTTCCTGGTTAGTATAAAAGTTCTTGCACAGGTCTTTATAATTCAGGTATCCCGGGGACCCAATGTCATACAGCCAAACTGAATAGGGAGAGGAGGGGAGGGGAATTCTATTGGACAAAGTAATACTTTTTTCTTCTACATGTAATGTTTTTTTACAAAAATAAAATTTTTTGTAAAAATTGGCCAATTTGCCAATTGGAGCGACGGCCCCCCTCATTTCTGCGACTCGTCGTTTTCCTTGAATTTTAGCAATGGCTAAAACTCGTTCATAATGGCTCCCCCCCCCCCAAATTTTTTTAATGCTCAATTCATCCTCGGCCTCTCAAAACATCTCAAGATAAAGGGGGGCTGTAGGGAATCCTGAGGGGAGGGGCGAAAAGCAAGTTTTCAGCGCTGAAAGATCCAAGATACTCTGAACATGGGCGGAACTAGGAATTTTCTGTGGGGGTGGCACGAGAGGATATAGAAGTTGCGCTAAAGGGGGTCTGAGGGGAGGAGCCCTCCGGAAAATGTTTCAAAATTGAAACGTCTCGAGACCAATTTAAAGCCATTCTCAATGACAAATTAAAATGGAATTAAATATTACAGATGACAGAAATTTTGCGTACATTAATCGGAGATAGCTGCTCTCTTTGCATCCTCTGACATCTTTGATCGATTATATTAAGATTAAGCTCAAGTTTATCACATTCCCTATGCCTTTTACCTCAAAATTAATTAGTTGCTTAGGTCCTTGACATCTTTTGGAAGGGGCCGAGTCCCTTGGCCCCCCTATTTCCGCCCATGCCCCTGAAATCCATTTTTAACTTGTATATAAAACTGAATGCATTTATTGTCCCTCTTTACAAAGCGGTTGATCATGTTCGTATGTAAATTACGACTCAGATGTCTTTGAATAATTCACAACTAGCTTCAGCTGTCCAAGTGCCTAAGAATACCTATACTCAAAAATTAATAGGGGTGTGTGTTTTTTTCTTCTTTTTCCCCCTAATATTTTCCCCCTTTTTGCAGATGTTGGAACTGTTCCTGAGAATACAAGGTTCCTTGTTTCCTTGCTGAGTCTCCACCATGATGCAAGATATTGGGAGAAACCCTATGAATTCTACCCAGAACATTTCCTTCCTGAAAACGTCGAGAAGCGACCCAAATTTGCATACATCCCGTTTTCTACAGGAATGCGAGATTGCCCAGGTCAGTTAGTTGCTTAGTAGGTAAACATTTTTGAGTTGAGCCTACAGAATTTCAAAAAAGGAAGCCAGAAATAGAACAAGAAAAGCACAACTCTTTGGAATTTTGCCGAATTTCCACCGACATTTTTCATGATTCAAGTAGACTAATAAATAAAACTTCAAGTATGTTCAGGTACCTACAGGGGCCATTTTTAAAAATTCTTAAGTGCACGCGTTATTGTATTTGAAGTAGAGCTATGAAAGAAAGGGGCTACCAGGGCCGGATTTACCTACTTGCCGCCCATGGGCCCTGGGCCGCCTGTATTTTGCCGCCCCTTCGCTCATTCGTTTTGAAACATCAGTAAAAACGAACAGGAGAAGGGGTGCATAAGACGCGTTTACTCGTGTTGGACACACTTTTTGCAAAAGCCCTGTCAACACTATTACCATGAGTTCACGGAACTTTGCGCGAAAGTAAATTTCGTAAACCTATCTCTGTGTGGACGAGGCCTTCCATTTTTAAGAAATAAACGAAAAAATTAGGAAAGAACAAACATAAATGTGGTTTAATAATCTTAACTTCCGCCCGCGCCGAGTCGCGTTGACCGCAGTGTGTTTGGCGCAATGCGTGAAGTATTCATGCAGTCTTGTAGGCGCTACGCGTTTCACGCCAACCGCTGCTGACCACACTGTGTTTGACGCAATGCGTGAGGTATTCATGAAGTTATGTAGGCGCCAATATGTGTTACATGCCAACCACCGCACCGAGGACTTCACCTTTTCATCTGAAGTCCTTTGTCATCATTGCTCTCTGCGCCGCGCCGTTCCAGGCCAAATTGCTTGTTTGATTTCTCTCTTAACTCGACTAATTTAAAGGTGCTGTCTCTTGTATCACCAAAAGACGACAAAATTAGAAATTACTATACTCTCAGGAAATGATAGATTTTGTCGCCTTTTCTCATTTGTATTTTTTTCCTGAATCCGATTTTTTATATATGTCTACATTTAAAAAAAAATTGTAAAAATTTGCCACCCCCTAAATTTGCCGCCATGGCCGCGGCCCATGTGGCCACCCCCTGAATCCGGCCCTGGGGGCTACCAACCGAAGGGTCTGATTAATTTTCATATCACGTTATGCGTATTATAATTGCAATATCTTCAAGAGAACATCACCTTAATGAGAGCGACTCATTAATATTTTTCGATGTATGATTTCAGGAGCAAAATACGCGATTCAGTCAATGAAGGTTGAAGTTGTACGCATTTTGTCTCAATTCAAAATTGCATCGGCAAGAATGAAACCTTGGAAAAACCCATTTACGGAGCTCAGTCTAGGATTTGGTTTCACCTTCGTTCCCACCCGTGGTTGGCTCGTCACAGCTGAGCTAAGAAATCAGAGCTCCGACTAAATTTCAATGCAGTCGCAAAACAAATGCCGAACTGATTTGCCCAAGTATTGTTAAAATTATGTTTAAGTTGATATCAAAATTTGCAATTCTATCTTCAGATCTTCTATCTTCTCGGTAGATTCGATATTTTTCTCATATTTTATACGATTATATACTTTCGCTAGCTCAGTTGTTCTTTTATTTTCGAATATTATAAACACTAATAGAAGATATTGTACTTTGCTTTTGTTGATGATCAATTCTTTTCTTTTTGTATAGAATTCAAGTAAAGCTCAAACGTAGGAAAGAAAATATCATGAATTATTATTAATAAATGCAATATGCAGCTATTAACAAGTTCTTCAGAAGATACCTAGCGGTGCCTCAGCGAGGTCGTATATGTAGCTGGAGGATTTCCCCCCCTCCCCCTTCGCCATAGAGGTTGGCGGCTCGTAAAAAAAAGTTACGTGACGGTATTTAGCCACCCGTTAGATACCATTAGACACACGTGAGAAATAAAAAGTCCCTTACCCCACCCCCCTAAAAAAATGCTAATTACACTGATGAAAATGCTTTTTAGAGATAGCTTTTTATTATCGGTGCGCAATACTATTTATAATTTTTAAGTCGAAAAAACATTACGGAAAAGCATCATTGATGTTGACGAAAACGGCACAAAAGGTACAGGGATCAAACTGCAGATTTATGGGAAATGTATCTCCTCGTAAAATTAATTGTATTTTTAGAAAACAGAGTAAATCCTTATTCTTTATAATACATATAGTATAGAGATGGTTTTTCTCCTTAGGCGGAGGATGAAGGTTTTCTATAATTTTGCTGAGTGAGGAAATGCGTATAAAGAAAATTAAATTTTGGGATGTAAAAGTATTTAAGGACATAGTGCTGTCGAGTTGTTAATTTTTGGACAGGTAGAATTGATTAATCTACTAATTTTTCTCAAACTTAAATTGCATCATTTAATATTTTATTGATCCGATGGTGCTAATGATCCACCATAGTGATACGATATTCATGCTTTAGTTCAGTCCACTTAGAAACTCTGAACAGACGAATGCTCGATTGCATCCCATCGAATTGAAGGCGCTGTTCAAACTTCAATGCTCCTGTATTGGTCCGTAAACCGCTCCAACCCTGTTGACCTGTTGCCTGTTGTTGATCGATCTCACCAATTGATGCACGAAATCAATTGTACGGAAGTGCAAATGTCACGAAATCGGAATAAATGCAGTAGCTTTCCGTTTAAAAATAAAGTATGACAGTAAGTCTGCAACGCGACCGACGTCGCAAACCGAGTTATGTGATAGCCGACTTACACCATCGAAATGTTCCTCACACATAATCGTCGCTCCTCTGACGTAAGAACGTAAGGGTGTTTCTGGATTTTCAGATGAGCCCCAGGAAACACGGATTTCAGATACTCCTTTACGTCGAATAGGCAACGACAGTTAAAAAAAAGATGGCGTTACTCGGCGGTACGGTACCGTCGAATAAAACGTTATACGGTACCCTGGCCAGCAAATCTTATAAGTATCGCTAAGGGGGGGGGGGGGGGGCAGAAGGTCATACTTCGTAAGAGAAGTATATGGGACACTAAAAAACACACCCGTCAAGGGAGATTTGTGGGTTTCCCCAGCTCCACGGAGGGGCTCATTTAAAATGGACAGTAAATATTCATTATTTTTTTCACAATAACAATTTTCGGTTCGTTTTGTCAAATTTTGTCAATTACCTCCGATATTTGTATCGTAAGTTCCCGATGGATTGACAGGATCCAGAGGGAGTGAAATTGACTGTCACCCATTAAGCTCCGAGGTTGAGTTTTTACTCTCCTCATCATCGAGAAAGACCGTACTACACTACACGTTGTGATGGGCATAGTGGCGAGGACCTCGAGGAGATACCTAATAGAGTGTAAACCCGCGGCACAATGTTCGATAAGATCTAGGAATTCATATTTTTTTTTTTTTTTTTTTTTTTTTTTTTTTTTTTTTAAAGTATACTTTATTGTCAGCTTCCAACAGAGGGAATATAAACAATTTGCTTAAATTACGAGGTAATTGTATAACAAAGCGACAACATGCTAATCGCTTATTAACATAAGATTAAGGAAATTCATATTTGGAACTTAATTTTAAGCTAGCAAGAGTGGCGCACCAAAGCTCAAACTCTCTCGTTTTTCTTACTTCCTAATTTTCTGCCTCTGCTTTCCTCCCTTTTTGGGGGGGGGGGCAAGCCCCCTCCCTCGCTACGTGCCTGCTGGGGGCCGATTTTGGCGAGTTCATGGGGGCGACCGCCCCCTCGCCCCCTGGGTCAGTTGCCTTCCACCATTCATTTTCGGCCCCAGGATGAGATACGAAAATATCTTCGAACAGTATTCGACGAATTTTAACTATTGTTCAACGTAACGATGATTTAATGCTTGCAACAGAAAGTTTGTAGGTGTCCAAAATTTGATGAATTATATGCTTAAGTGGAAACTATCGAATAAAATGAGCATGAGAGCATCCCTGGATTCTCGCGGGGAGATATAACGGGATGACCCAATCTGCTGAAATACATGTGTTGAAACGGGAATGTGCCACCATAACGTCATAACGAAATTCATTTTATCGTCCTCAAATCCATTTTTCTACACTTTCCCATATTGCAAAAAAAAAGAAGAAAAAAAAGCTGCGAACTCAGCCCATATAATGAATTTTGCAGGTTTGTGCGTGCGCATTCTTTATATGATATGTATTTGTATTAATATATTTCGTTCGATCAACTTCGGAGATTTCTTTAAAAAATATCACGAGTTAAAACTGAACGAAATATAAAACATCTGAATGACTCCGATGTGCCACAGTGCCATGTGCAATTTTCAAGGAGGGTGGGATACTGATGGAGTAGTATTTTGGTGGGAGATCATCACCCCAGTCCATTTGCCAAATGTCTCCACACTTTGGAGACGTTGAGAACACCTACGCCTACGGGCCCAGTAGGCTTTCACGACTTTGCTCCGGTGCACTCGCCCCATCTACGAGTCACCACCACCTAGGTTTCACATCAACACTTAGTGGCTGAGCTGGACCGACAATGGTCCGACAATGGTCACCATGACCGACACCGTCTACCAGGACAACCAGCAAACCTGGAGCACGGCTGAAATCCACTTACCGTGGCATACTAATTCAGTTCCTAGAATTTGTCTCGACTATCCTTTGCAGGATAAAAAATGTGCCATTAAGCGGTCTGGGCAAGGGACTGGAAAGATCTCCGATGGGTGCAAGTTATCACAAATGACCTGACCGAATCTGATTTTGGACATACGTCCGCGATATGTACCTTTATAAAAAACTGAGATCTGGGGACTTTATGTGATACTGTGATGCTGTAAAAAGCGCGGTAAAAAATTATTAGGTCCATAGACCTGACGAGAAGGAAAGTTCCTGGCTTCCCCACTTCCAGATCGGGAGGAGGGCCGCCCCAACTTGCTGGCGTAACAGAAACGCGGGCGCCCTCTACCGGAGAGCGGCTGAACTTGTCTGCGGCCGGTGTATGATCCGTTGCAGCCTGAGAAATTGAAGGCGACTTTCAGGCTCCTCTGCTACTCAAAATTAGTAATATCCCACTCAATATTACCTTAGTAATCATCTGGAAGAGCTTAAAGAGCTCTTTTTCACAGTATTTTTTATAATTTTCTTCTAGTATGGGAAATAGTATAAACAGATTTAAAAGTGAGAAAATGCACTGCCCAGTGACCTCATCTGGCGGCATTTCCCATTTAAACATGCGTATTTCAGTAGATTAGATCATTTTACCATATTTTTCTCCAATAATTGTTCAATTCATGAACCAAAGGTATCCTATCGCGTTCAGTTTACTAAGTAGTTTCCACTTAAACAAGAAATTCATCAAATTTCAGACACCTGCAAATTCTCAATTGCTAGATTGTAGTGTCAACAACAGTCTTTGTCTCCAATAACATCAACTGATGTAATGCCGCAGAAAGTAGAAAAAACATTGATTCAAGTTGTTCACGTTTGATGATCAAACGTTGATCTCAAGATAAAACAAGTCATGAAAATTTTAGGAATGAAAGCTTTCATTTGACAATTCTGACTGATTGGCATGATTTGTTGCGTAAAAATATGTAAAATTATGCTGAGATAAAACTTCAAAATCATTGAACAACTTTTAAAAGGATTCTTCAGAAGAGAGAGGGCAAATTAATCTTGTCTCTCTCTTGCTTGATAAAATTGTTGCAAACTTTTTGTTCGGATTGTGAAATTAGGAATGAAATGGACCGAGTTCATCAGAAAGGAACCAACCCACATTTTCGAAAAAATTGAGTTAAGAATGCTCTTGAGTTCCACTTGTATATATTCCCCTGCCAAAAACTCATAAGTCGAGAAAAAAAATTTGTCTGTCTTAAGAGGAGTTAAAGTTCATTTTTTACATTGAGCCTTATGGAGTAAAGAAACGTCAATTCCCCTGCCAAAAACTCATAAGTCGAGAAAAAAAATTTGTCTGTCTTAAGAGGAGTTAAAGTTCATTTTTTACATTGAGCCTTATGGAGTAAAGAAACGTCAAACCTCTTTTTCTCAGTTTCAACTTTATGTGGGTTGGTTCCTATCTGTTAAACTCGGTCCAATTTGAACCCTTCCAAATGTGCTCACCATGATTTTAGTCATTTCCCCCAAGAAACAAATGTTAGTTTTCTCTTGCAAAAGTTTCCAACAGACCCAGTTGACATCTTTTATCAAATTTTTAATGTTCTTTTAAAAGATTAGATATATAATATACGATGCGTCCCAATGAGAATATCCAAATTTCATGTGACTACATATATATTTTGTTCTCTTGAGTAATCAGAAGTATTTGAATAGTAATATAAAATGAGAGACAAAGGAATGAACTCGTTTTTTTTGCTGACAATTTAATTTTTTCTTTTTATTATGAATCTACATAAACTTAAAATTTAAAATAAAATTCTAGGAATTATAAAAACATTTATTTCAGTTCATAACTGGCCCTTCAGAACATGATATGCAGAGGCTTTACAGTGATACCTAGTTATAATTGTTACTTGTAAAAAGAAGAGAGAAAATTATGGAGATAGGCGTTAAAAGTAGATAAAAACAGCACTGGGAGGAGGAGAAGGGGGAATATAAAGCTATGGGGGAGTATCCTCTCTTCGAAAATAAAATGGAATTTATTAAAAAAATAAGAAATGAGTTGCAAGAGTAATTTCCATAAATTATTGAGCCATTAACCGCAGTTAGAAACCAGTCTCTTATTCATTTCATTAGGTATAATTGTTCCATATGGACCAATAGACGAGATACACACTCAAACATTTTGACATTCGTTTCCTCTTCAAAATTTCACTCATGGAACAATTTGCACAAAGAGAATTGTGCCAATTAACTCCCAACCAAGATATTAATGTTTTTATTTGATGTTGGTTACAAATTATTTGAATTTCCAGCTCATGTGAAAAACCAGAGCCTACTTGAGTCAAATCGCACAACATGAGGGTTTTGGCAGGCTCCTCGGTAAGTAGTGTTCCTTCCTCACCCTGAGTGCTCAATTGGTGAACAGCATGCAATATCTGAGTCGCAGCACCAATATTGAGATTGCCATATTTTCAAACTGCTAGGACTGTCACTCAGTGAGCTATTTGACACGAGCAGATCATGTTTTTTTTTTTACATGATGGGGAAATTTGAAAAACGTTAATATCTTGGTTCTGGGTTAGTTCCCATAATTCTCGTAGCACAGATCATGCTCTACATCAAATTTAGATGAGAAAGCAAACATCATAGTGCTTAAATTCTCACTTGTCCAGTGGCACATTGCGAAGGGGGAGAAAAAAAAATTAGGAGAAATCTAAAAGAAGAAGGAAAAGACACGAAGAGGACAGGGGAAAAGTACTGGCTCACAGGTGATCTCTTCCCATATATACTTTGAATTTTAAGAAATTAGATTTAATAGGTATGCTTTGCAGTTCAGAGATGAAAATTTCATAATAGATGATGAATATTTTCCGTCATTCTTCCATGAAATCAACAAATGTGTAAGGACTAGTTCATTTTAAAATAAGGGCGAATTGAATATTAAAAAATAACATCATTTAAATAACCATACCTTGAAATGTGTAGAAGGACAACAGTCTTGTTCATCTGTGGAACCACTTTTTTTTTCTTTTCTTTTCTTAAAAAAATACGGCCTTCATTTCAACTATCATATTATTGACAGCAAGTCTGGCTGTGGTCCATTGATTTTTAAAATTTGCTATTTACAAGTATTGACTACAAATAAAGAATTCTTTGATACAAATATGACCATAGGCTCTTTTAGATAAGACACACCAATTGTCTGATTTAATGGGACCTAAAAACGGAGCAGGACATTAAGCACGGAGCAGGTTCTTTTCCTGGCAATTTTTCAGCATAGCGGGCAAAAAGCAGGTTGTGAATCATCTTTGGGAGCCCATGGTAATTATTTACAATCAAGTATAAAAATAAATTTTACAGCTAAAGAAATAAATCAACGGTCACCGATGATAACTTTCAAATTTGATTGCAGAGTTTCCAGTTGAGCTCTTAAACCTTCATCTAAGAACGGCAAATCTTCTGCTAAGAGTCCTTGATTTGGCAGGATTGAAAGAATCTGAAAAGGAAAAAGGTCAAATGCTGTAATCAAAGAGAAGGTAATATAATTTTGGGGAGAGCAAAATTCATGTAGTTTAGGGTAAAAGAGAATTTATGTCGGGTCAACAGGGTTCCAGCTAGGAGTATACAAAATTCCTGACAAGAACATCAGTACTTTCCTGGTCTTTGTTGGCCTGATTAGTCAGGCATCAACTAAGACCTGGTTTTTTTTTCATCATTATGTTTGACCTTAAAAAATGGCCAGCATTTTTCGGCACAAGTTTACTACCTGAAAATTCAAGAAAATCTTAATTTGATCCGCAAGTCAAATTGGTTTGAACAGGCACTGGGATTCCATAACTAGGGGACTGAAAAATTAAGGAACTTCCATTTTGAGTTGTGACAATCTTCATCAGCTGTCTTCATTACCATTCCCCTTTTTAATTCAAAATTTCTTTAGCGCTTTGATTTTTTATTGGATCTTAAAAATTAATCTATTTGATAAGGTCTCTGATGCCTGATGCATTATGCACTGAGAAACATTATTTTCAATCCATCCATCACCATGCCGAGCAGCCTAGTTTAGTAAACCAACAGTTTCAAATGTACTTCGTATCCATCAAAAGTTGGTTTTAACTCACGTGAAATAAGCACTTCGTTTATTAACTTCTTAGCAGGTCACTCTAAAAAATGCTAAATCTTTTCATCATTATTAGATGGAGCAGCAATAAAATAAGTGGAAGAGCACATTGTTCTATTGCTAAAATTGACAATTTTCATAATTAGACAATAATATTGTCATTAAGATCATACATTTAATATTTGCCCAAAAATGAGCGAGAGAAAGGATAATAATTTCAAACTTACGTTTCCATCTGGTAATGGAACACAGACTGACGGAATTTCTTCGCGAGGGATAGCAGAGACCATGAGCGGTGAGCCTGTGATGGACATTGCGAACTCTCCTGCTCGTGGGCGACGAATTATTGATAAGGGAGTGTCTATATTTACTTTTGGGGTTACTGGAGGCATGTTGGGCGTTGGTCTGGCATTTAATGGTGTCTGTAAAAAAGAAAACAATTAAAAAAAGAACTAGTATATGCTACATGGTTAATTTCAACGAGGGGCGTTGAAGCTATATATCGACGGTGTAAGTCGGCAATCACATAACTCGTTTGCGGTGTCTGAAAATCTCCGCCTCTATAATATTTTTTAAGGGAGAACAAATGGACATCATTCCTTGAAGTTTTTGCAGTATTTTCTTCACCTAGAGAAGAAAAATCACGACAGTTTCAAAGAATTGTCGTTGAGTAGTTTTCCGTTTAAAAAATGAAGTATGATAGGAAGTCTGCGACGTCGCAAACCAAGTTATGTGATTGCCGACTTACACCGTTGATATGGCAGGAAATTCAAACGCGCAGCCCTTACAAAACGAGAACTCGTGGACTTGGTAATGGAAGGGCTCATAGCATGAAAAATATGAAAGTTGGTCATTTCATTCGTCATTTTTGAAAAGAAATGTAAGTTGTCCGGTTTAGAGACCTGTTTTTACAAATGAGTGTTGCTTTCCAATCCTTTGTATTAATAGCTCTCTGTCTTGCATTTTCGTGACATTAAACAAACAATGTAATTTTGTGAAGTATTCTGCCAACAATTACTGGCTAAAAAGGTACACTCTAACAGGCTACATTTTGTAATGAAGAGCTACTGTCTAAGGCTCATACATAAAAGCACCCATCTAGAGAAGGAAAGTTATGACATTAAAGGTGTCTCTAAAATGAGAACGAAATAGCAATTCTTTATAATAAAATGCAGTCTAAATATACTGTCTCATGCTGATACATGCTTCAAACCGACGTTGTTGGATACAAATATTTTGTTCCAACGTACTGTGACACACATCAGTGGCAAAGGAGCAAGATTAATTTTTAAAAAATTTGAAGTTGGATATGGAGACTCACCACAAATTTACTGGTAGATGTTTGCTGCTGAATTCTTAAGCTATTCCTGGTTTTGCCTGAAATTTAACACAGAAGAGGAGGAATAATTAAAAACGTATCAAGAGATGAAATGCACTTGGAGTCAAAGTCATTGATTGGATTGCATCTCGCATGAGTTCATCTATTTGTTAACAGTAAAAAGCATCAAAGAAAACGTGACCATCCCTGGGAAAAGAGATTAGAGTCCACAAAAAAAAAAAAAAAAAAAAAAAAAAAAAAAAAAAAAAAAAAACTCAAAATTTAGTTGTTGGTGTCGGAGAACAGAGGATGAGTTTTATTGACTTTTTAGGTCAAAAGCACCAAAAACTTTTACACCAAACAAAGATTTGTGTTTCTTTGAATTATCATGGTTAAGAGCATAAGAATGGGAACCCTAGTCAATTATTACACATTTAATACAATAATATTGTACATTTATAATATTGTACATATGTATAATATTTTTCTCAAGGTCATCAACTAATGCAGTGCAAAGATGCAGAAAGCTTCCACAAGATAAGACCAGCCTGGTCACAAGAGACAAAGGATGGGGAGAGCTAATAACGGGAGCAAATAAGGAGAGTCTGCTTAAATCCTGTTTTTTTTTTTTTTTTTTTTTTTTTTTTTTTTTTTAAATTTTAAGAGGACAGTAATCATGAGGTTGAGTAAAACAAAAAGAAAGTCAACTTGATTTGCAGGGAGGCTTAAAACTTTCTACAGCATTGTAGCAGCGCATACTCCGATATCTTCAACCTAGATTTCATCGATCAGCGATTTGCTCTTTTGAACTAAACTGTTGCAAAATGTACTTCATTGATAAAACCATGTGGAAGAATCATGGCATGCAGGTAGACATAAATGCTGTATTCATAATAGTTTTCAGGGAGCACTATATCCGATAATAATGAATATAAAAATTTACTTTCACACAGGTCATTTCATTGACCTCTGACTTGTAGGTTTCAACTATCAGACACGATTATGTAACTTGCACAACTCCCCCACAATTCACAACTTCAGCTACTTCAGTGACCGCGGCAGCACCTAGCTTCACTAACTGCATGCTAGCAATGGCAGGACTGACTGTCGTATACCAATAGCACTAGATAGAGAGCAAAATAGGTGAGTGAGGTAAGGTCTGCGTAAAATTCGGGATTGCTGATAAAGGCATTTAATATTTTACAGACTGACTTAAAACATAATAGATTGATTAAAAGAACTCTTCACTTACCGGCTGGTTGTTTAAAGACATCTTTATCAGTCTGCTTCACAGTTTTTGCTTTGATCGATTTTGACAAGAGTGGCATATTTGTTCTATCTTGCATAACACTAGAATTAACTGACACAATCTTCTGCAAAAAGAACAATATTAAGTTTTAAAAATATGGAGGAAAAATTGAATTTTAATATTCACAGCAAATCATCTCTAATTGGTACACATTTTTATCATCTGTTAACAAAATCTGCATAGTTTGTTAACAAAATGAATTTCAAGGTAGGCTAATTATGTAGCGAGTTCTACCTCTTAAGGCACAGGTAGAAAACAAGCCTCTTGTGACTGTATCCTTATGTTGTTTCAAGAAAAAAGGAAATTTAATTGAAATTTATAACCTTTTAAATTTATAAGTAGGTAGAAAGGTTGTGAAAAAGTAAAAAATGGTCCGCAGTATTTAGAAGAACATTACTTTGATTTTAAAATAATTTTGAAGGTGTTTTTTACATGTTTGTGATTGAAAAATTTATGATCTTAAAAAAGAGGGCTACACCAACGAGTAGCTGTTGGTACCAATTTATTTTCACAGCCATTTGAAAGTTTTACAATCCAAACAAAAACCTACGCTGGTAGAAAAAAGAGATTTATGCGGTAGTTTAAAAGAACTCATAAGGGCATCTTACAGTCATGCCTCCTTAAAATTGACTGACAATTGGCCAAATTAAAGCTAGGTAGTGAAATCTATAAGCCATCAGCAATGTTGCATGCGGCTGCTAGATACCGGTAAAAATGACCCAAGTTGTGTCACATTTTCGGGGTACACAGGGACATGAATGACTGAGCAAACCACTGTGCACATATGATAGGTGTATTTTCTATACCCTAGATAAAAACGTATGTGACGCAGTAGATGGCGTCTCTAGCTCATATTCAGAGAAACCTGGGTTCAAGTCTCGCACATGCCTTGTAAATTTCATTCTTGTTTTGTCAAATGCTCTTTTCCTCTTTCTGTTCTGTTAGTTATTGATTTTGAGTTTAGCATGGTTACATTTTTTACCCCCTAAAACATCAATTTTTAGACTTTAGAATCCTCGATGTTATCCACTGTGCCAAGGCCACTGTAGTGGAACGAATGCAAACAGACCTATCATTTTAGCACAATGCGTCGCCCAGTAACTCATGTCTCTCAGTACCCAGAAAAATGTGATACAACTGTGATCATTTTTACTGGCATCAAGGGGAAAATAGCAAAAATGCTGAAATAAGAGTTCAACGGTTTTCTAAAAGTTAGAATTTAGCCAATCATCACAAACAATTTTGAGGAAGCATGACAGTGCTTGAATCAGTGAGAACGAAAACACACCAACTCGGTAACTTGAAAATGCTCAATTTTCATCGAAGACAGTCAATCTGTACAAAGGTCATTGAAGTTAGCGCATCTGTCATAACTTGGACTTTTAAAGTGTCCTTTTGTACTTGTCTTTCTGCACCAAAAATATTTTTCTGAGACTGATTTCTTCACCTACTGAGCAGTTTTTTGTGTGTCTTGATTATTTTCATTTAACGAGTTGGTGTGTTTTCGTTCTCACTGATTCACTTAAGGGCTCTTGGTGAGATCAAATTGATACATATCTTCAAAAAATACGGCTTATAAGAATTACTTACTTGAGCTGAGGTGGGGATTTTTGTTGCAGATGCAGGGGCAGGAGGCTGATAGTTTGCTAACTGAAAATAAAAAAAATGGGATTAAAATTTACAGAAGAGGAAGGGAAAAAAACACTGCATGGTTCCGACAACTGCTGGCCTCACAGCTGCCTAGCAATACAACAATCACAGACTGGTCAAAGCGACTAAAATGGCGCTTGTGACACCCTTCAATGCCACTGAATACAATTGACATGGCGTGGTTGTTAAAGAGCTTTGTCTAGAAAGCGGATTTTTAAACAGCTAAAATAATAATTTGTTAAGAGTTTCTAGTTGCAGAATCATAATATACTCTTGATATTCCGGAATCAATACCTTAGTTTGAAATTTTGTGAAAGAAGGCCCTTTTGCCTATGAATAGTCACAAATGGATTACATTTTGCAATTAAGGACTATAAATTTCAGCCCGTCTTAAAAACAACGTATGTGGCCTTAATTTCCCTTTGCACATAAGTATTTTTTCAGATGAGTTAAAATTTATAGCTCCAACTTGCAAAATGCAGTCACAAATAATGAAAGAAAATACAGGACTTTATTGAGGAGCAGAGATGAAAAGGTCTTCTAGTATACCAGTTTAGAAATAAAAGTGCTATGTATTTCCTTACCAATTGACAAATGGGTTTTTGAAGATCAGCAGCAAATTTGATTTTAAATCGTGCAATCGTTCTCATGACGTTATTTTTTTGCAATTTGTGTGCCATGGTAAGCTCATTCAGATGCTGAATAACTAAATAACAAAAACAAAAAATCACGTGAAAAAACTTTGGGGAAGTAAAAAAAAAGTGTAAGGTTACTGCAAATGATTAAAGCTGACAGCTTAGTTATGGCTTATGCTTATAAGGCCGTTCAAGTATTTTGCAAGTCATTTTAGCTACCTCTTTGAAGACAAAAAACCCCAAAAATAACTCAGAAAATTTAATTCTTTTGTAAAATATATTTATATATGTTTTTTTCTTTTTCTTTAGGAAAACTCTTGACGATGAAAAAGTAGTAAAAATTTCTTAAAATTAGAAAGGAAGTTGAAAAAAAGGAATAAATTTCTGTCTACATAGAAATTTTTATGTTTTTGTTTTTCCTGCATATTTTAATACAACTATGTACTTATGTATTTTCATTTTTTCTGTAAATTGACTACAAAAGATAAATTTTAAATGGGCTAAGTCATAATTTGTGCTTTTAAAGCATCAACACACTCAATTACACCTTAAAATTTTGGTAGGAAACAATTCCCAGGCAAAAAGACTGATTTGTTGCCAACCAAGGAGTGCGGTTGAATTTCCCATCTTTCTAAAGGTGCTTTCCTGTATTGTGGTTGATTTAACCATATCTTTTGTTCCGTGCCAAAATCAAAAGTGGCTATGGTTAAATCTACCATTCCTTTTTTTTCTATAATCAAAACTTATTTTCAGACATTTATGTTAGACATTGGCAGTAATTAAATTTGTATCACCTACAAACAAACGATCTGATTTGTTATTTTTTGCAGAAAGTTGTATTTTCTGTAACTGTGATTTCTTAAAATCTCTTCAGTACTAGTAATCAAACTGCTGATTGGGAGGAGTGAATTGCAAAATTAGAAGGAGAATAGGTGCCAGAGATAAATTGACGGTGTTAGTCGGCAGTCACATAACTCGGTTTGCAACGTCACAGACTTCCTGTCATACTTTATTTTTTAAACAGAGAACTACTCAACAGCAATTCTTTAAAACTGCCGTGATTTTTCTTCTCTGTGAGAAGAAAATTCTGCATGAACTTCAAGGAATGACGTCGATTTGCTCTCTTTTAAATCAATAACATAGAGGTGGAAATTTTCAGACACTGCAAACAAGATTTGTGATTGCGGACTTAAGCCGTTGAAATGCCTACGTAAGACTTGTGGCCATGCCATCTCATAGGTAGTGAAAATGATTGAATTCAGAGGGCAAAAAATACTTACACTGCTCTTTTATATCTTTCCTCATAGATTCTAGAGTTTTTACCGCAGGGCCTGGAACTGCAAATCCATCACTGTCACATGTTATATTCCCTGATGACAAAGTAGAGGCTCTAGATACCATAGATCTTTTTCTGGTTGATGATCGAGTTGAGGCTCTCGAACCTTTCGAGACTTTCTTCGTTCGCACCATCTTGTTCCTAAAACAAGGAAAACTATGATTAGTGAGATACTTAAGGGAATATTGCCCTTCAAGGGAGGTAATTGTGACAGCTAGACAAGATCAACATGCAAAAAGCTTCCTACACAATACTACGAAATAAGGCGCAGGCTAAATTTCAATATTCTTTTAAAATGATGTTCCTTACAGCTTCCTGACCATGACGAGCTTTTAAAATCAAACTCCCTGCATGTGAATCTCAAGAAAGCAGGGCTTAAAAGTGATTCTTTTTTTGCATTTTTACTTGTAATAAGTATCTACTTTTATCTTATTTATTTTATTATTACAAAACAAAATTACCTACAATAATAATCATATTTAAACTGGCAAGACCCTCCTGTAAGCAATGCTGCTTTTGTGGAGGGCTGTATACAGAGATATAACAACACAGAGGAACCGGCAAAATATTTAACATGAGGTGGCCCTGCCTGGTAGGTAAACTAAACAGTCCATAAAGTAAACATACAATAAGCGAAGAAAAATAAAATTGAATCTACTACATGTAAAAGAAATTTAAGAAAAAAGAATGCACAGATGATGTGTAGGTCACTAAGGTGAAGCTATAGGGAAAAACATTTAGGAACAAGTGTAAAATACCTACATTTTACAATAACAATTTAACTACAAGATTAATGAATTCCTAAATTAAATAAAACTATGTATAATAAAACTTCGTAAAAATGATTGAACAGCTGATTAGTGATTGGTAGGATCTTTTGAGTTCTCCCAGGCTGGGAAGATGAGACTGACAAAAAAAATCAAACTGGTTCGAACGATAACAGCAAGTGGATTTGATAAGAAATCGCAACTTCCATCAAAATATCGTGAACTTCATTCCTGGTTCCACCTGATATGAAATCAAAATAATACCAGGAATGTCCTGAGACTGCTTTCACTGCAGACCTGCTAAAACTAGGTGAGACCCAACAGGGTCCCAGTGATGGATCAACCAAGTAAGCGTCTACCGCAAATCACCAATGGTGTGGTGATGAACTGGCCCACCAGGACATGGGGCCTTAAGTACCTTGACTGTAAGGGGACAAATAGATTTTGGCAGGTTGGTATTCCCGTGTCTTTGAGTTCATCAATAGGGCTTTTTTTTTTATCACGGAACAGGGTGGATAGCAGTGGAACGCACTGGTTCGGAATCCTGAGCAATCCAGACCGATCCAAAGTGTTCCAAGTGATAAAAAAATCCTAACTTGGAATTTGGTTTGATTTGTTATTGTTTTGATTTTTTGGGGACAGCAACTTCCTCGCATTAGATTAGGATCACAGTGGTCCGCAAGCTTGCCCCACGTTGGAAGAGCGATCCACCCTGATTCACCTGGAACGCTTGGATCACGGCTGAGGAACGGAATAAAAAAATACCAATATTTATCGTGATCCATATAAAAAAAGCCCTTATGATACACCGCAGTCATTACTACTTTTACTTATGAATTTTTGAGTAATTAGGGAATGACTAATTTAAGGTTAGAATGTGTAACATTGCTACTTTTAGATGGGCATATAAGTAGGTATACTGTGTGAATATTGGCGAGTGCAATCACTGCTAACCATGAGTAGTCGCTAAGCAGTGCTAAACTACAGTGCAGTTTAGAATATAGAATGGGTAGCTGAAAGCCCATAGATTACAGATTGGTAATTACTGAAACTTGAAAATTACTGTTGTAGGGATTGAGCACTCAAGAGGCTCTTAGGAGCAGATCATGAGCAACTGACTCATCCGTAAGAGGTGAAATAATGTTTCGTCACTCTTATTCGTTTCATAGGAACAGCACTCATACATGACAGCCACTCTGTACTGGTGCAGTCAATGGATGAAAGGAAGAAAGCGAAAATCATGTATGATTCATCTCCCGTCTTAGCGCAAAGCGAAAAGAAAATCACCGTTACATGGCGCACAAGTAGGACCTTAAACAGAGTGCTTTGCTGCATTCATTTCTATTCAATTGATAATTAAGAACAGTGGGAATGTTTTAAAAAAACTTTACCGTCAAGTTTAGGAAGCTTATTAAGATGATTCAAGACAATCAACACTCCAGTATTCTAATGGCATGGAAGGTAGACGTTTGCCGGCGTACCAAAGGATAATATAAAACAATAACACGAGATTACGCTCGATTTAAACGCGATCACAAGTTGATGGAAGAAATACTGGGGAAATATTAGAAATTAAAAGAAAAGCCTCGTGAAATGGTCTGGCTGTTGGGGGGCAGGCGATAAAACACAAACTTTTAAATCCTAACCTCACCCACAGGTGGCTTTTGTCTAAATTTTAACCGCCAAAAAAGCGAGCGGCATTACATGATTGGCCAATTTATGAAGCGCGAAACTCGACGAGATTTAAAATAATACTAATGGTGGTTCTAAATTTGTGATCGTATATTTCGTTGGTGTTCTTACAGAGGTAAAGAAAAAAGCTTTATTGTTGAAAACATTCAAAGCAGTTGTTAAAATTTTATTGACAGGCAACATTTTCGTACTGGCTACAGCTTGGGAAGTTGGAAATTCTTTTCGAAACAAGTCTAAGTCCACTTTTGATTGGCTTATGGACTAAACCGTTGCACTCACTGACGTCATTAAGATGGCGACGCTTACGTCGGCCTTGGACTTGGCATTGAACTTTCCAAAACGAACTTTCATTGTTTATCAACATTGCAGCTGCAATGCAAGGTCTTTGAACAATGAAGTGCGAATGGGATCGGTATCGGTGCGATTGTGCTGAAATAAATACTTATTAGTTCATGTTTAATGTAGCTTAAGCGTCCTCTACTATTAAGTTTGATCAGTCATCGCACAATGTTTTAGTTTTTCGAAAAAAACATCCCTATATCCTACTCTAGATTTTATTGTTTACTGCTCATTCACGTCTACTCACCTACTCGTCACGCCCTTAGATTTGATGAACTAAAAAGCATTTTTTCGGCTGTTAAATGATTCAAGGTAAGGTTTGATTACTTTTTATGTCACCTTAATTTAATCCTTCCAAAAGGCATCATTCCCTCTCAAGGAGGAAGTTACATTTCATAGTGGAATGTTTGTTACGTTACATGCAGCATGCAGTAGAATTTGCATTGTGGTGTTATTATTTATTAGGTATATCAAATAAAAGCACCTATATGGTACTTGACTTTAATCCTCCATTCACTCAAAAGTAGAAAGAAGTTTTCAATTTATTCTCTCCTCCAACAAAATTTTCTAAAATAATTTTCTCCTCACACTCATATGTGAAGAGAGTGAAGTCTGTTGCGGATCTCCTGAATATCGCAAGTGCAATCTCCACTATATTCTAATCTAGCTGGACTTAAAGTGCTTTAGATCCCTTCTCTCCTCTGTTGGAGATCAGAACAACGGACTTATTGATTCTTTCCATTACTGAAAGTTGTAGATTAAATCTCCCTCTTGCGGAAGTAGGAACTTTAGTTAACATTTTGTCCCTGTTTTACTATTCCTGCGTGTGCTTACTGGCAGGGCTGGATTCAAGGGGGAATATATGACCACGGCCCATGGTAAAAAATATAGGGGGGTGGCAAATTTTGTGATTTTTCTAAACGTAGGTACTGAAAAAAAAAATTACGAACGAGAAAGGGCGGCAAAATCTCTCATTTGGCAAGAATAAAATCATATTAAATGCTAATTTTTTCACTTTTCGATGGTGCAAGGGGTAGCAGCTTCATTTATTCTGTCTAATATCTTATGCACACTCATGTCCCCCCCCCCCCCCCNCCTCTAGCATGTCCATTATTGGTGTTTTAAAATGGATGAGAAGGGAGTGGCAAAATACAGGTGAGTAATAGGTAAATCTGGCAGTCTGTATTAAGCAACAACTTAAAGTTAAGACAATAGTCAAATATGAAACTGGCAGAGGCAAACTTATCTTTGCAGGAATAACAGAAAGTTAAGTAATCTTATACCGTACGCCCATTAGTGCCGCAATCTTTTGTCAAGACTTTGCTGATCAATGTCTCATCATAGAAACATACCGAGATAGGGTAGCACCTGATCATATTGCAACTTCTGCCCCTGCCCCAGTGATGGTTTTAAAAATGGACTGAGGCTGTCATCATTCTAATGATAGAACATACCACATATACTGTAATATACAAGGTGATCAGGGCCGGATTAACACTTTTAGCGCCCTAGGCTAAACTTAGGGTGGCGCCCCTAAAAGTAGGCGCTCTCGTGGGGGGAGGGGGTTGGGGTCTCCCAGACGCCCCTCCCCTCCAGATCAGAAGGAGGATGTCAGGTGTCCGGAAAATTTTCAAATTCACCTTTAAAAAAACACCTTTGTCAACTACAACGTAGACATTTTTTAATGAGTCACGTTTTTTAACACATTCTCAAAAATTTTACGCCTCTCAAAATGTTGCGCCCTAGGCTACAGCCTATGTAGCCTATTGGTAAATCCGGCCCTGAAGGTGATCACCTTTTTCCGAGGAAGAATAGGCAAAGAAACTGGCAGGCACAATTTCTGCTTTTCATTCCCTCACCCTGAAACAATTAGTGATTATACATTTCTTTTCTTTTTAGATGAAAGGATACAAAGTAACAGACGCAAAATGGACAAAAATTGTGGGTATTGCTGCGAATTCTTTATCAGAACTTGTATTGAAAGGCTGTAAAAAATTGAATGTAAGTATATTTTAGTCAGTTACTTACTTACTATCTAAATAATCAAAGGGTCAAATGATAAAAAATCCTCTTATGCACACATTTTTAATCGAATTAAGATTGTTGAGTGCTTTTTCCATTTCTGTAGAATGAAATAAATAAAAGAAGTAGAAAAGAAACAAAATGAATGGTAGGGATACAAAATAAGCCAAATTATTAATTGAACAGAAGGAACTAATACTTAAAGGAACAGACAAAAATAATTGTCAAAGTATATGGGTCAGTGGCAAGGAATCTTTGCAGGGTTGTAGAATAGTTTTCCTCATGTAAAATTTTGTGAAAAACATTGCATATCGATGGTGAAAGTACCAGACCACATATCTCGGTTTGTGATGCTGCATACTTCCTGTCATACTTCATTTTTTTAATGGAAAACTACTCAAAGTTAATTCTTGAAAACTTCCCTGATTTTTCTTCTCTGTGCAAAAAAAACTGTGAAAATTTCAAGAAATAATATTGATTTGTTCTCCTTCAAAAAATGAAATAGGAACGAATATTTTTTAAACGCCGCAAACGAGATGGTAGTTTCACCGTCGATATTATCTCGAGAGGCTAGACAGCAGGACCTTCTCTGAGGAGGGGTTTTCAACCAAAAGTTAAATCAATGTAATTTTTCATGGTTATAGCTTCTGACCATAGTATCTTTGTCTGTTCGTTGATTGAGATTGATTCTGTATTTGCTGCTTAGTGAAAATTGGGTTTTGATTTCAGATTACATTTTGTGAAGGCATCAAAGCTGTCTTACATGATGGCACAGAAGTTGACTCGGAAAGTTATTTTAAGACTCTTCCATCACAGTCCTTGTTAATCATTCAGGAGCCTGGGAAGGATGTGCTCACAGGTATTCTAATCCTCCTCTGTTTTATAGAATAAATAAGAAATTATATTGAGGAATATCAGTCTTCAAACTTGGTTTGACTTTTATCCAGGCTTCGTTCAAAAAAGTATAAAAACCAAGCAACTTTCCAAAGAACAGATCCCAGGAAAACACATTACAAGTTTTAACTATTGTTCACTGACCTTTGGGGACGACTCATATTTAAATAAAGTCATTAGTCATTAAAATTTGCACCCTTCAGAATGCAAATTCGGCCGTAGACGAAGCTTAAATAGATATTATCAGGCGTTGTGAGAGAATGTTTAATCGGGTCTCTTGGAAATTGACTAGAGATGGTTATAGGCTTTGGAATTTTTTTTAGAATCAGACAAATTAATAGGGATATGGTAAGGCACTAGCACTAATCCTGTTCCAGTTTCTTATTTATTGGAAAATCCTAGTAGAAATATGTTTTGGGTGAAAAATGCAGCTCGAATTCTGACATTTGTGTGTCTATAACATTTAGTATGCTGTATTTTTAGGTGCACAGACTGAATTTTATTCTATAATTGACCAATTTTTCTTCTGGAAAACCGTCTGGGAGGGGTTTTTGAGTGAATTACCTGTGAGTTTCCTTGACCTATTGTCTTTTCTGCTGGAAACATGCCCAAGTCCATGATCAGTACCATGGTTCCTTGGTCTCTGCATAATGGTTCAGAATTTAAGTGTAAGTATCGAGGGTGGACAGAAATTATTCAATATTATCATAAGGTTTTTCTTTTGCAGGTGCCAATTTGATTTATAATGCTTTGACACTGCTGAATCTTGAGTGTTTGAAAGCTGGAGAGCTTGTAAATCAATTTTTCACAGAAAATATCAAGGAAAAGGTGAGGGAATTGGCAAAGGTTCTGGACGAAGAAGATGGGGACAAAACTCTGGTCAGCAAAAAAGTAGAAGATCCAGAATGGTTTGCAGGTATTCTACTCAGTCAACTTTTCATGCAGAAACAGGGCCTAATTCATGTACATTAAGTTAATCAAGCTGCAACTTGTGTTTTTTTCATTTTATAGGAAATAATATAGGAGAGAGATAAGAAAATCGCACAAATTTGTTGAAGAAGTACTCCTTCCAGCAATTTGTAAGAGTAACAGGCTGCGATAATCTGTAAAATTTCATGTAGAAAATAACTGATGGGGCAAAAATTTGAATATTTACTTCGAAGTAGTTCATATTGACTGTGAAACTACAAAAAGTAAATTTAATTCCGGTGTTTCAAAGTCTCTATTCTTATTTTATTTAAGGGGCGGTCCCTGAAGTACGTAACGCACTTTTTTTAATTAAATAGGATTTTGGCTATTTAATTATTATTATTATTATTATTTTTTTTGTTTTTTTTTTGCATATTTTATGTAGTATTCCGTAAGCGGGCTGAGGTACCTTAAAGAGTTTGAACCAGAATTCACAGGAGGATTGTAATACATTTTACTCTATCTCATAAACTTAAATTGCTTTAACAGTTTGATAAGCTTAAATAAAGTTTAAAATGTAAAATTTGGCAGAAAAATGAACATGGAAATGCTTTAACTTAGACCTCATCTTACAAAAACTCCCCCATAAAACCTCAATCAATGTATCAGTTTTTCCCCCTTTACTTTAATCATTATTTTTGTGACTGTTGCAGGATTAGACACCAACTCTACTACCAAGGAAGATTTCATGTTTCGACGATGTCAGGATCGAATAAGAGGTTACTTGTACAAGTCGAAGAGTGACATCACAAAATCAAAAACATACAACCAGGACTTTGTCGCCAAAACCAATCTACTAAAGAGTTTCCAATATTTTTCTAGTCAGCTTCAAAAGGATAAACATTTTGGATTTTATTTTGACAGGAGTAGTACAAAGGCAATGTGTAACAATAAAGGTGATTTTTATTGTATGGGGCCGTGGAATGAAGAGAAGTGCTTGCATGGTGAAAAAGGGCATATCATCAATCCGTACCAAAGCAGAGAAGCTCGGATTGTTTTTTCAACCTGGAATCTAGATCATTGGTAGGTTTTTTCTTGACATTATGCTAACTTATTCAGGAGTAATGCTTTGTGATTCAATAAGGAAAGAAGAAAATGGCTAAAAATGTAATTTATTGACATGCATGTGTATGTACCAAACAAATAGTTACTAGAATCCAGGCCAAATAAGTTAACGAGCTTCTAAACTGCAACAGAGGATTATCTGATGTCACTTTAGGATGGCAAATAAATGCAAGAATCAAGGATTCTGTCGCAGTTTATAAGTGTGTAACCTTATTTAGCAAGGGCTCTGAAAAAAATTTGCTCTCTTTCAGCTAGAGTCAAAACATACACAGTGAAATGGCTCTAAAATAACGTTTACAGTGATGTATGTGCAATGTGCACGCTAACAAAAGGTCGTGTTGGCTGAAGAAAAGTCCAAGTCTGATAAATCTAAGAGTTGCCTGAATAGAACTTGATCTGAACTTAAAAATTTTTTAGTAGTCATCATGTGAAGATTGGTAGTGGGCAGATAACTTTTAACTCTGCAATCCAGATGCATTTCCATCTTGTTTTTGAACAGTAGATGATGGAGAAATCGAATGTTCTTTTACTTAAGCTATAGAAAAATTTTAAGGGAGAGCAGGTTTTAATTTAATGCATGCTCTACATGGTAGATGTTAAAATTGTCTTTTTGTTCTTACAGGATTGAAAGATCCAGATCAGTACTCCCCGCACTGTTGAATGCATCGGAACTAGTAAAGGATGGTAATTATGAAATCAACAATGAATATTTTTACTCCCTTCTTTTCACATCAAAAAATCTAAAATTGGTCCACATCGTTTGCCATGACAAAGGAGAGCACAAAACAGCGAAGTGTGATCCACTTTTGACCATCTGTAAGTTGGATAAAAAAAGCAAGTCAAAGTCCTAAAATATATTTAATTTGAAATTTTTTCTGCTCATCCATGATGAGTAATTAGTGCATGAAGCATTATCAAATGGTGCTCAATCGATTTGACTAATCAATATGCTAATCGTTATTAGTGTAGCCAATCTAGTCAAAGTAGTGTTCCCCTTATAACAACAGCGGTTTGTGCAAAAACTGCTATGAGCTCGTCTCAGAGGATTTCATATTTTCATTTGTCTTGACAAGGATCGTTAATTCACAAGTCAAAGATATGCTGGATATTGTATGTACTGTAGTACACCTGAAAACACTCTTACCAGTACTGAATTTTGCTCTTCATCAGCAAATGTATCTTCTTCAATAAAATATCCTAAAAATTTTATGTCCAAGACTACTGTAGCTTCTGCAATTGGTTTTTTCTGCACTTGAATTTTTATCAATCAATTCTGCTTGTGAAGCTCAATGGGAGCATTTAGAAATAAAAAGGATATTCGACTTAGAGGCGCTTTTGCACAAACCTCTTTGTCTGTACTTGTGTTGTTTTAATGGTAGCTTCTTAGCCCCCTTCAAGACTATTTTCATATTGTGATTGAATTTTTTAACATAAAAGGATTTAGCTAGAAATAAGAGTGTTGTCTGATTAGTGATGTCCTTATCAAGGGTGATATTTTGTAAAAATATCTGAATGACAATTATGCAAGTATGTTTTATATGATTTTTCTTTTAAAAATTATCATTGATTTCAAACATTTAAGAATCAATCACCGAATCAATAATTTTCGCTAAGTTTGGTGTGATGATTAGGGGCTGTTTAAAGTTTTTACAATACGTAACATACGTTTACATGAAAAAAGTCAAAATTTGATTAACTTTTGTTAATTTTATGTGCTAAGTGACTATATCAAGTTACGTACTTTGATTTAATGCTTTCGAATCAAATACTTTCATTGAACCATCTTTGTTCATCTTAAGTTTGTAGAAAAAGATCCCTAGATCTTTCATTTTAAGGAAAAATATTATGATGTATCTTTCTTTAAAGGCCCATGATCTCTCTTGAAAAGAAGTACAATTCTCACTGATCTCTTTTTCCTCCTAAAAAGATAACTTTTTTTTATCGATCTCTGTGTTATTGAAGAACATTCTACTCAAATATTACGTTGATAGGTCTGATATATACTTGTTTTTATAAATTGGTTTCTTATGAGGGAGTAACTTACTCTTGATAAGTTGATTTCTTTATACTCTTAGGTAATGAACTTCCCTCTGTTTCTGAGAGTCAATAATACCCCAGAACAAAGCAGGACATTTACTAGGCAGTCAGTTTCATTCTGCTGAGACTGACTCCTAATTTTCACTGAAGTAACAAAGTTATAATCCCTCTGAAATTAGTACATTCCATAGGGAAAAGTTCTTTTTGGGATGAACGTGAAATTAATTTTTGTCAACTGACAAAGGCATTGTAAATTTTTGACATCTTTTGATGATTTTATCTGATTATTTTAAACCCTTGTTCGTCGGTCATCTAAACGACTGGTTCCCCAACCTCTTTCAGTCAACCAAATTCCTAATGTGTTCCCATCGCATAACTTATGCATAAAACACACAGCACATTCCGAAGTGTTTTTTACAATCAAATTGACCTTTAATTTTTCCTCCTTAAATAAGGACTCTTTCAATTTTCCAACTCTAAGTGAAGGATATTGAAAATAGTGAAAAATTCAAATTTTTCATTGAAATATCTCACTAAAATCATGTTTTCCAAAGTTTGACTTCAGTTTTTAGAAATCCCAATCATTGATTTTGAATTCAAAGAGTCAGTTTTATGAGATGATTTAATGTTCCTTGGTCTATTTGTACCTAATAACCTCTAATGTTTAGCAATTCTTTTATCCACCTTTGTATTAGGGATAAAATTACTGAAAAATTCTTCATTTTTGTGAATGTTAATTTTTTATGGACTCGAATAAGCAATAATCTGATCTTTTTTGTAATTTCAAAGTATTTGTCAAACAATTTAGCAGCAGTGTTAGCCTAACAGCACTTTTAATTTTGGACGGTCGGCCCTAGGCGAAACTGACAAATGGATATCAGACAGTAGAGTGATCAATTTATTTGTCGACAAGTTATGATCTTGTACCTCTCTGAAAACTCTCCGGAAGTTTTCCTCTCTAGTTCAAACTAGTCGCATAATTTCTGATCCCAGTTCCAAAATGAGTCTGAGGACACTTATCAGGTGCAGGCGCCTGATAGTGCACCCATCACTCCAATAACGGCTTGTGCCATTGCCAATGTGTTAATTTAATTTTTTAAGAAGCAGTAAACTCTGGAGGCATTGTATAAGGCGCACACGTTTGTTTAATGTTCAGGTTTTTTTTTTTTTTGTTTCTCAAATATCTGTCGATATTATTTTTATTAATTTTTTTCTTTGACAAAGACAAGGCAATAATTGTCGTAATTTAAGGCCTACAATGAATTAGTGGTTTTTCCCTTGCAATTCTGAGGGGTGCAAAAAATGTGTAGGGGTTCCTTCTTCACTCTTGTAGCATTTAGGTTAGCGAAAGAAATAACAAGTGAACAATTTTGAATGAATCGATAACCTCACATCATCTATCTTGATAATTATTGTTGTGTTGATTTGAAGATCAAGCAATTTTGTTACAGATTATGGGAAACGTAAAACTGCATTCAGGAAATAGTTACGTCATTAGGTGTGCCAATAAGTAATCACTATTGCAGCATATCGATGGCTAAGGTTGAAAAATTCATAACTCTATTGTTATGTCTAAGGCTCCATGATCTTGATGTATTTTCCTGTAAGAAAACTAATCAAAATTCATAATAGTTGATTCTTTAAAGTAAGTAGAAACGTGCAGTTGAACAATTGGAGCCTTGCTTATTTTGACTTGGGAACATGCTGAGATGAACAGTATTAGATAATGTTAAAAATAAAAGAAGAAGAGCCAACACGCTGTGGAAATATGTCATTTTACTCACACTAGTGGGTTACATTGCTGAGGCCTTTCGGTTGTACACAACTATCTTCAAGGACACTACGTATAAGCAGACAAGCAAAAAAAGGCCTGCAAGGCCTCGGCAATGAAACCAACTAATGTGAGTAAAATGACGTATTCCTACAGCGTTTTGGCTCTTCGTATTTTATTTTTAAAATTTTGACTTTAGCCACAGATATATCAAGATAAAAGTGAGCCAGTAGTATGGAGAGGTTTTGGAAGGGTCACACTCCTGAGAGAGGTGAGGATCTAAAGCCCTTCAGCCCCTCATCTACGTGTTCCTTATTTAGGAAGGAAAACACAGTGTAGATCCCCAGATAACCCCCTTATTTTGGCCTAAGTAGTTACAATACCTAAATAATACCTAGTACCTAAATAAAATAACAAAATAGGTAGTTGTTATGGCATTTCTTACATAACTATCTTAGTCAGCTAATATTGATTACATGTTAGAGCTTTTTAATCCAAAGACTTATTTTTTTATCTCAATCTTCTTGTACATGGTTTCCAATAATATTTTATAATTTTGAGGTGAAACATCCTTCAGTTCGTTGAGCAGCCTGTAAAGTGGAACTAAGACATTCCAGTATTTTGATGATCTCCTTACAGATGTGTTTCAAGCATTATGGTTTACACATAAGTGAATGATCAGATATTCACAAAAATGTGACTGTTCAGAGGAAAATTGATCATAGCATGGAGAAACTTTTATGTGAGATTCTAGTACCACAGCTTCCAAGAGAATGTTCCAAAAATTGTGCACTTAAAAGGCACAAAAATGTGAAACTTAATTAGAGTTTTTAAGCTTTAAAGTTTGCAGCTCAAACAAAGTGATTTGAAGTTTTAATCTGTCCTGAGTAAGGCTTGAAGGCAACTTTACGGTCTTTGTTCGCAGCATATAATTGAACTGAACTGTTCTGCATGCAATGGAGTGTTTATCACCAGTTATTCAATTGTCTGTTTCAACTAATCAAAAATTTTCCTCTGTAGTAAGAGATCCTTTTTCCTGTGAACGGTTACAAACGATAGATTTAGATGAACATTCATATAGAGAGGTAGTAATAAAATTTTACCGAGGAATAAATACAAACGCAGGTATGCATTTGTTATCTTCAGTCATTATATTACATTAATAAATAAAATGAGACTGATAAACAGTGAAATTCTTCCAATTTATAACTGATGTTGAGACATTGGCTCGCAATATTTAAAAACTTAAGCTTAATGCACTTATTAAAAATTCACTGTTAAAGTTTCGAAAAAGTTAACATAACTATCAACTCTTGGTTACATTTTCTATTTCAATTGAACACATGAATATTTAGTGCTAAAGTTGAGGTTGAATTTTTCATAAAATGATCATTTATTTAATCAGTTCTTGAAGTGATGCTGCTTGAACTGCAGTTGTTTTAATCGCAAAGAGGGACATAATGTATGGAAGAATCCGACCCCAAATAATGATTTTCTACAATATTTTATTACATTTGCTGTTATTATTTTGTTTACTACTGCTTGAATAGCATTTGTGTTTACGTACAATGTAGTTATTGCTGTTATTAGTGTAAGTGATATTAAGTACTAAACGCCTTCCAGCGCGTCTTTTAGATCTTAGTATATAAATCTTAAAAGTATTATACATGCAAAGCTGTGAATGTGACTTAATTACCAAAAATAAATGTTCAATTCTATATCATTGAGAGTTTTGGTGCCCCTCTTCTTTTTTACTTCCCCACCCATAATTTTTTTCCGGGGAGGGGTAATATATACTTATCGCGAGCTTCTCAAGACCTCATTTACTATGAAAAATTTACTCCTCTAAATTTTTTAAATAAAAAATTAAGTATTAATGCAATAATGCATTACATACTATCAGGAGGCACTTTAATGACTGTAGAGCCTGTGCTCTATTTTCAAATGATGTGGTATTCCTGTTCCTGAGCAGCAGCGAGGGAACGCAAGTAGGAAAGTTTCCGTCCAGGAACCTCAAAGATCATCTAGATTCGATGACATATATGCATTAGCTATCCTGCATACATGGTTTCTCTTACGGACAAGTCAAAAAATTTACTCTACTTTAAATACTACTCTACTTCAAATAGTTGGAAAACACGTCCACAGTAGGACCTAATGGTGAAGAATTGCAGATGGGTGAGCTGTGGAGTTTGGCACCAAAAGATCCACGATCTTTAATAACAGTCTGTGAATTCTTCCAGTGCCAAGAGTCAAAGCTCGCTAGACGAAGACTGCAGTTTTAGATGGTTCATCCAGATGGGTTGCGGGGCTTGAACAAAAGTTGGCGAATCTGGTAACTTGGCCTCAGTAGAACTCTGATCAGTAGACTTGATACCTGAAAGTGGAAAGAATGCTGACAGCGTTAATGCCACATCATCACAACATGAAAAAGTTAACTGGGCGAGCACACTAGATAGCAAAAAAACTTAAAAGCATACAGGATACTGTACAAGAATGAGGGAACGTCTAGTTGGATGTTCTATTTCACGGGCATGTTAAGAGTTGAGGAGGTCTGTAAGGATGGAAACAGGAATAAGCGGTGAATGAACCTCTTGATAAAAAGGTTCGACCAACACTGAGATCAAGTACTTGGGTACTTGATGAGAGATAGTGAGGAAACATTTAACCCGCCTGCATGTTCTACGTGTGAGGATTGATTCAAGTTGTAGAAGGCATGTTTGGGAAAAAATGAAGAGCAATCAAATGATATTTTTCCCGCCTGAATGGATGTTGTGCAATAATTAATTAAGTAGAGCAAAGCCGCATGTTTGTAGGTTAGATCAAGAACACTTGGATGCACTTTCGTTACCGACCGTCTTGGGCAAGAAAAGATTTGGCAGACGGATTTATTTTTAGCTGCTAATAATAAGTCGAAGCTTATACTCACGGATAGAGAGGGTAATTTCCGCCCCTCGTATCTTCCTTCCTATCAAGTTTTTATAATTTCTCCACACCCGGAAACTCTCACACATCACATCACATGCTAATGTTGCATCACATGGACCAGGATCATAATAACATGCGCGCGCATGGACGAAAGTTCGCGCGGGAAGTTTTGGCGGGAACGTCCAAAACTACTTAGGAGGGAGGGGAACCGAGAGGTGCTGGCACAATAATTGGGGTTGAAGTGCACGCCCCAGGTCCTTATTCTTAAATATCCCGCAATTTTCAGCATACTCACATACCCGTGATACTACATTTGACATGAATTTGACCTCATGACCAGTATCACAGCTGCGGCGACGGGATCCTTTCGAGTTCAGCACGTCCAAAATGTGATACAGATAGTTTTTTGATACATGGCCCACTGTGAAAAGAAAATTGAATTAGTAACTTAAAAAAATTAAAACAATTTAAAAATTGATAACACGATGTATAAAATTTTCGTTCTTTTTTCACTGAGAGTGCCTGGAATTCGCGTAGGAACATTTATCTCAAATAGGACAAAATAAAAAATTGAAGGCATCTATCAAAATTTACAGTCCTTCAAAATGAGCTATCCGCGTGATTTTGCTAAGAATCGACCTTGGCCCCTAGCCCCCCCCCCCCAATTCTAGCGTACCCCAAAATCGTTTGGCGTGCATAATGAGACCACAGATATGGTCTTCGCTGCACATTTTGAATGAAATTGCGAACAGATAGATTCTGAGATATGGCTGTGGACAGATTTGGGGGACGCCGGCAGGGCCGGATTTTCCTACTTGCCGCCCATGGGCCGCCTGTATTTTGCCGCCTCCTTCTCATTCGTTTTGAAACATCAATAAAAACCATCAAGTGAACGTGCCAGCGGGGAAGGGGTGCATAAGACGCGTTTACTCGTGTTGGACACATTTTTTGGGAAAGCTCTGTCAACACTACCAGCAAAAAGTCACGGAACTCGAAAGTCAAGTTTCGTAAACCTATCTCTAATGGACAAGGCCTTCCATTCATAAGAAATGAACGAAAAAATTATGAAAGAACAAACACTTTGGTTTAATGATTTTAACTTCCGCCGCTGCGCCGCGCCGACCGCACCGTGTTTGGCGCAATGCGTGAAGTATTCACGCAGTCTTGTAGGCGCTATGCGTTTCACGCTGACCGCACTGTGTTTGGCGCAATGCGTGAAGCATTCGTGCATTCTTGTCGGCGCTATCCGTTTCACGCTGGCCACAAGAACCGCACTGTGTTTGATGCAATGCGTGAAGCATTCGTGCAGTCTTGTAGGCGCTAATATGTGTTACATGCCGATTGCCGCGCCGAGGGCTTCTCCTTTTCATCTCAAGTCCTTGTCATCATTTCTCCCTAAGTCCAGGCCAAATTTTGTGTTTGGTTTCTCTCTTAACTTGACTAATTAAAGGTGCTGTTTCTTGTATCACTGAAAGACGACAAAATTAGAAATTACTATACTCTCAGGAAATGAGAGATTTTGTAGCCTTTTCTCGTTTGTATTTTTTTTTTTCTAAATCCGATTTTTTTATACCTACATTTAAAAAAAATTGCAAAATTTGCCGCCATGGGCCGCGGCCCCCCTTAATCCGGCCCTTGTCGCCGGACGGACAGACACAAATTTTTTCATGTAAGTATGGTTATTTTGACTCCAGGGACCTTAATCCGTCTAGAAATGATGAAATTTCAACTTTTGTTCTCTTGGAAGATGACAATACTTCCTCTACCCTAGGGGAGCGAGAAAGTAAAGGTATGAAATATATGAGATTAAAACCATAACTTACAGAGACAATGGAAATGATCAACTGCAAAGAATTTGCATTTCGGGAAATTTTGCGATTTTTTTTCTCTCTGTTTTCTCTTTTTTCTCTTTCTTCCTCTTTTTTTCTCTTTTTCTTTTTTCTTTTTCCCTCGGATTTTACAAGCGACCTGGATGACACTTGCGCTTTCATTTCAACAGATCTAGAGGTGCAAATACTTCGAAATTGCTCCAGGCTCTTCTTAAAATTTACCACGGCAGCATGGTTACCATTACGTCATCGCCGAACGAATCCATCCAAGATGTGTCATCTCGGCACCATGGAGATCCTTCGCGCCGCCGTGCCGCGCAGAGGCACAGACAAAAAGGCGTAACTCCACTTCGAAGGCAAACCGCGGAGCGGCTGGACTCAAAGGGGCGACAGGGCTTATCCGGACGTGAGGTTAGGGCTTTTAGGTGGGGCGATGTCTGTCGGGGGTCGGCGGCCAGGAGTGATGAGAAGTGAAAGACGGACGACCGCGGCGCGACCCGCAGAAGCCGGCAGGTGATCATTAGCGATGGGCAAGTTGCACACGAGAGTATGAATATTGTGCATTGTTGCTCTTGCAGTCGCGGTTGCCACCTCGGGCACCGTCGAACCGCGGACCCTGGTTCACGCGGGTATTCTGCCGTGCTAAGGAAGAACGCCGCATTAACATTCGAGAGTTGCCAAATTTCCTTAGATAAAATGTTCATTTATGAGGAAAATTATTAATATTTTGCCTTGAAAGTTTCAGGGACTTTAGATCAAAATACAAAGAATACTCTCTGAAAAATTGGAAGAAATATATTCATAAGTTTACCAGGGAATTCGTGTTTCATCGAAGAAAATTTGGCAACGCCTAAAGGTTCATACGGCGTTTTTCCTTAGCACGGCAGTATTCCACGCTCTGCGGCCATCGGCACGTCCTTGACAGCCCAGATGCCCCACCGACACTGGAGTGCCACATCGGCATCACTCTTCGTGTCATTGATATACGTGGAGCTGAAGGCAGAGACATGTCCGACTGTCGATCCGCGGGCAAGGGGGCCGTATTCTACACTGAAACAAAAGGGTTAGGGGCTGTATAGACATACCGTCCGCACGGGCTCAGAGACTGGAAGTTCCGGGTGCTGGAGCCGCAGCTTAGATTGCTAAGGGTGCTACGCCCGGAACTTTCGGCCACTGATCCCGGAACGCGGACAGTATGTCTATATAGCCCGTAAGTACGGCTTATTCGGCCGTAGTGTTTTTTTCAGTGCACAAAAATTCAAAATTCAAATAACCCTATAGTCGGACAGACATGGGTCTTCGTCTTCGGAACCGGAGGACGATGACGAGGTAGAACAGGAAGAGGAGGAAGGGAAAGAAGCGGAAGAAGAAAAAGAGAGAAGAAGGTGAAAAAGACCCCGAAAAATACCGTATTTTCTCTCTCTCTCTCTCTCTCTTCCACTCACTTTCTTTCTTTCCTTCTTCTTCCTATTCTTCTCTCTTCTCCGTCTCCTCCTTGACACTAACTGCGCACAAATAAGGGATGATCAACACATATATTACAGAGATTTTCGTTTTGGATTTTTATAGGTAAGTAAATGTGAACCAAAGTCAATCGCAAAAATTCTCTGAATCTCTACCTCGCTAATACTTGACCCTTACATGTTACTCTTGTAATAGCGTTCTAATAATTTAATCCTGCTCTAGGGAAGTTCGTATTGGATAGCCTGAAATGAGTTTTCGATGATAACGCCTTGACAAAACAACTATTCCTACTCTAAAGACGCTCAAGCTGCATACGCTGGAAACTGAAGGAGCTCCCGTCTGAATTACCTTCACAGTAAAGTTCTAGGATGGAGTCCTATTCGCTAGATGTGACTTTGATGGCAGTGTTTCGACGCAACAATTCCGACTCTGGGGCTGTGCGAGTTGTATCTACACAAAAATGCAGGAGTTCTACCTTTTAACCGTTCTTGCAGCGAAAGGCACAGCG